AAAAAATGTGCTTGTTTTCCTGCACAAATAAGTGCTCTTGGCTGTGTCCACTATGAAAAACAAAATAAGCTTGGAAACCTACCAGAGAACCAAGATCCAGCATGTTATGTCACCTGAAGCTGGCTACAACGCATTTAGCAGCACAAATACAAGCTCATCGTCGGTGCAACATAACAACTTGATAGTTCAAATAAAGCCAACTTTTGTTGACCTCGATGAAAATGTGAATGGGCCCATGCCTATTTGGAACAAACATATATTTGGGGTCGTTATGAATCTTCAAAGGTGCAACTATGGAGAAGATTTAACAACTCAAAAAGGAAGCAAACTAGCTCTCTCTATGGTTTGGGTCTGTAATTGTGAAGCAGATGAGAACTGTTGCAACACCAACCGTTTTGTCCTGTATAAAGATGATGAAACTGAGATTACATTCCTACTTGTCTATAACTGAATTTCATGATTCCTTCATAGACATGAGGTTTGCTACTAAAATGCACTCCACTTGACATCCATATTCAACGTTTTTATGCAACCTTGCTATGGTTTGGCAACCTTTTCTGTTAAAAAAAAGCATTAAGAAAATAAACGACTGCCATCCATTCATTAATAAACTCATTAATTGTTACCAAAAAGTAGCGTTTGCCCACCAAAGAAGCAATCGGGACCAAAGTATGCACATTTTGTGTCAAATAGTGTTTGTTTTCAGCAATACAAGATGATTGCCATCCATTGCCGTTTCTTTGGCAAAAACAATAATTGCAGGGTATAAGACTCTGACTATTGCATTAACATTTATCTTCGTATATCCCATTTGTAATAGAGTTGTGCATGGAACCGCTTGGTATGGAGGATTTGGGCATCGCCAAGGGTAGCCTCTTCGTTTCTAGTACGTTACCGAATATGAAGAATGAGAATAACATCAGACATGATTGCAGTAAAGATAACGCGCGACTAAACTTTCCGCCGGGTGACAAGTTAAACCGGCCGCGTGGAGGGTGGTGTCCAAGTGAAGAAAACAAAAACACATCATGGATACAGGTTTGTGTTACCAGAATATATTGCCCTACCACAGACCAATGATTTTACAGGATTATCGTGTGGTTCGGGATAGTCACTCAAAGGCGCCGGTCTATGAAAAGTCATCATGTTTTAAAATAAAAGTCACTATCTGTGAGAGAAAAGAATCTGTCCTTCACCCCCCCCCCCCCCCCCCCACAGGTTGATCCTACTAACAATAACACTTCAATGTTCCTTCTTCTACTCCAGAGTCCATACCCTCTCCCAATCCCCTTTGGTCTTCACCCAGACTGGTCCGTCCCCCATTTATTTATCTTCTGTTTCTCCTCCGAAACATTTATTTGTTTGTCTTGTATCACTGCCATTTGCTTCTGAAGAAGATCTTGTTAGGATAAAAATATCAGGCTGTCGTAAGTTCTTGAAAATTTAAGAGGTGGGTTTGAAGACGGGACTCGGAAGGTGTTTGTTATCAAAGAAATCATTTCTTGCATTAAGTTAATGGGGCAATTTTTTGACTGGTAAACATTTCTGTATTGCAACAAAGTCATTGACGTGAACAATGTATTGCTGTTAGGAAACTGAATGTGTATGTCAATTATTATATGCATTTCACACTTAGATTTATCTCGGTCGTTCGCTGCAAGTTGAAGGCGTCATAACCCAAGGAGGTGGCTTCACCGACACAGAAGAATGGATTGAACGATACCAGATTCAGTACAGTAACACAAACGCCGATTCTTTGGAAAGCATCAGAGATAACAGTGGCAATATCCAGGTAAAATAATCACAAGAGAGTGAGACCCATGCAATTCGGGCGTTTCACAATGCAGTGCGCCACCAAGAGTTTGGCACGGAGTCCATTTTTCAAGTTTACGGTCGACAAACACGGCTTATTTGAACAAGTATCAATAGACAACCTGAGTTAATTTGTTAAAAATTGAGGCATAGCGTTCTGTCGCCTTACAAAAAAACACCATATTGTTACAAGGAAAAGAAAAGGGCAAACAAATACTCGAATCACACGCTTGCGAAATACTGATCAGACAAATTAACAACTTCAAATAGCTCGCGTTGCGAATTTGTCGACCATTTCCCACAATGCACGGGGACAAATGAACTCTCCGTGGCAAACTTTTGGTGGCACATTGCTTGCAAAACGCCCAAATTCTTCTCCTAGAAACCATACAATGTATGCACTATTAAATTGGGAGGGAATGCCTAGTAATATATAGAGAATATACTTTAAGTATACAATGTAGTAGGCGATTTCACAAAGTGACAAAACATAACTCTAAATGTGGCACAATAACAAGAGATAATCGTAATTTGAAGTTGATTTTTGTTTCCCCAAAGACTGTCTTTACCGTTAGCAGTAACAGAACTCAGGCATTTTAGCTTTGATTAACAGCCTATATTTTGCTCTTTGCTAATTTACACCTGTTTCTTAATTTAACCTTAGTGAATTAATCAAACTTGTTTACACTGCATGAGAACATACTAGTAAATACGAAGAGGCCGTGTAATTTCCCTATCACTCTATTCACAGATTTTGTCACTTCCTATGATTGTTTAAAGGTGCAACAAAATAGCCTACTCTGAGAAATACATTTGCAAATCTTACAACAGTTAAGCGCGCCGCGTTTAACGTTGCCTGCGCGCATGCGTAAGCTCTGATGCTGACGAGTGTTGACCAATGAATGATCCCTCTTGCCCTGTCAAAGAGGCGAGTTTTTGTCAAATAATTATGACATTTTATGTTTGATTTACACTTCGTTAAAACGGGGGAAAGACTTAGTTCGGTCACTTTGTCAAATGTTTATTTACACTCATATGGAAAGTAAACACATAGTTCCTTTAGAAACTTCGTCAAAGTGTTCCTTGAGACAAATATAACAGAAAGCCTGGTAAAACTCCAAATCGAAAAATTGATCGATTTTTTTTTTAGGTTTTATGCACTTCGTGAGAACAGCTATGGAATGTAAGGGAGATATTAGGAAAGTGTTTACCTATGAAAAAAAAGTTTAAAACCTCACCCTGAGTCTGAGTGGAGTAAAGTCTACTCACATTTCTATGTTTTATATAGTCCTAATTTTGTGGTAACCATGCCGGAGGTTATCAGTCTCTATCACATATCACTAAATCCTAGTATGGGACATGGTACATCCACCAGAGGAGGTGTCGCTTGGGCGACCGTACTGGATGGGTTGAAATTGGCGGGAAAACCTAGTGTGCTTGTGCATATTTACATAGGCTTGTGTACCAATGAACTGATCAACCCCTGTGACCAAAATGGAACAGTCAAATTGCAGTGTTGTAGGTCTCGAGACCGGTCTCGGTCTCGAGACCGGTCTCGAGACCACTTTTTGCTGGTCTCGGTCTCGGTCTCGGTCTCGGTCTCGGTCTCGGAAGCTGTGGTCTCGGTCTTGGTCTCGGTCTCGGTCCCCTTTGGTCTCGATATTTTGGCTGGTCTCGGGTCGAGACCGGCAATATGTAGCTTTTACAGCTCGATCGATTACTTTGTGTTCACTTCGTTCAGTACCGACCGTTGTTATTTAAAACATTTGCTAGCCTGTAGATCAAGCTTGTTATATATCGCGGTCGGTTTGGACTTGACTGCACGTTGGAAAGTCCCCAAAGTACATGTAAAACTGCAGCAGTACCAGTCACTGAACGATTTGGAACAAGTTCGGCATTTATCTGTTGAGTCGGCCACATAAAGCAAAGTATAAACTTGTAACAATTTATGCAATAAGGGTCAACCATTTTCGGGGATTGTGTAGTTTAGCCCATCCCTGTGGGCGTAATCACTTGCATTTTGTATTCTGATAATAAATGAGGTGCTTCAAATTAGTTATATTTTCGACCCCACACAAAATGTTCTCTTTAATTTGGGACAGTATTTTGAAGAAAAAGTAAATTTTTCTACCTGATTTTTCAGCTTTGAACTCACACACTCTTACCAGTTACCACTCACTGTTGCCATGAGAGTGTATGATGAGACCCCATTTTCTGGCTGCTCATTTTAAAGTACCCAATTATTCCTCAAAAATTAAAAATCCCGTTCAGAAAAAAAATAAAAATCCATATCTGGCACATTCTGGCTACCACCTGGCAACTTGTGGGTCTACATGTACAAGTCCACATTCTATGACAAAAAAATAAAAATTAATTCAACATTTTCTAGCTCCCATTTTTTAAAATCAAGTACACAAGTCTTGTTAGAAGTTAAGTCCTCAATTTATTTTAGGAAAAAAAAGGCAATGTAAAATTAAAATTGCATCTTTAAATATCCGTTAGAAGTCATAGCTGAAACCAAGGGGGTGACTGTGGAGTTTAGGATCCGAGTTCCTATAACAGATGAAACATCTACCTTTAACTTTTGTCACGATTGGGTGCAGACAACATGTCAAAGCCCATATTTCTTAAGTGTAACTACTTTTTGCTCAAGTAAGGTGTTATGTATCAATTTGTCAACATTGCCACTGGTCAAAATTTTGGTCTGTATTCTTTGTGAATAGAAAGGTTACATTTTTCAACTATAATAACGTGTCTTGTTTTTTTTATTTCGACTATTGTTATTTATTATCAGCGGTCTCGGTCTCGGTCTCGGTCTCGGACCATATTGGTCTCGGTCTCGGTCCGCCTTGAAGGGGCTGGTCTCGGTCTCGGTCTCGGTCTCGAATCTTCAGGTCTCGGTCTTGGTCTCGGTCTCGGACTATCCGGTCTCGACTACAACACTGTCAAATTGTAATCACGGGCAAGTCTATGATTTTAATGGATGTTTTTGGTCTGAATGATTCCAGTGGTGAATGGTCCGGGTGTAAGGGCCGGGTGGCTCGAATGACATTGTGGTAGGAAAACATTCCACTCAACCTCCAGATATGGTACATTAAACAGCCCCTCAAGATCGAATTTTATTTTATATTTCCTCAAAGTAACACGTTTCCTTTCCCCATTAGGAATTCACAGGTAATGTTGATAAGCAGTCAACGGTGACCATGATATTTGCCACGCCAGTAACGGCTAAGATCATCCGGCTCCTACCCACAGAGTACAATGTGTGGCCTACACTCCGCATGGAACTTCTTGGTTGCAGAGGTAGTGTACTTTGTTCACATAGAAAAAAATAATAACTGCGTGTGGCTAGTGTAGTCACTGGTACCTCATTACTTCAGTGCGGGATGCACGGCGGTGGATAGGTTGAGTGTTGCGTGGGGTAGCTCAATACATGCAGGGACACGTGTAGACTGGTTGATGTAACACACAAGACTAGCATGACATGCTTGAATGGTTTAAAACGTAATCACCATTATTGTTTTCTGTTCATAGAGAATCGCTATAATGGTGCTAATTGGCTCTAAGTCAATTTCAAATGACCCCTACATATGTACCTAGTACCTATGCCCGACCTATACTGCCAAATGAGGCAGGTATTGGTTAAACGCCGTGTCAGTGTGGGGTACATGTACACCACCCGATCGCACCGCGCACTGCATGCAATTTTCGTCTTACCACTGCTAAAAGGGAACTATATAAACATTGAATGATTTGACTATTGCCTATGCGCTTCTGCAGAACCGCTACCGCACACTGACAAGTCTCGTTTATTATATTAAACAATGCAAGGAAATTCCGAGGTAAGGACAGTCAATACATGTTATTTTAGAGAGACTTATCTACAGGGGTCTTTCTCTTTAGATTAATTTAGAAAATCGGGTTTTGGTGTAGCGGTACCTCGTTTTGCCTTCCAATGCTGCGACCCGGGTTCAAATCCCGCCGGGTCAATAAAATGTGGATTGGGTTTTCAGTCCCTGCCTGATTCCATGGATTCTCTGTAGAATATCATTCTGGGGGTTTCCTCTCACCACTAATCAAGGGCAGCGGAATGTTTTTTTCAAACCGGGGAGGGGGGGGGGTACCAAAAAGGGGCACTTGCTTAGAAAAATATAGGATTATAGCGAAATGATCGGGACCATTTTCTTTTCCTCCACTTTCACAACGACGAAAGGTGCTTCCTTTTTGGAACTAATTATGAATACGTTGTCCATCTTGCTCTTTGTGTTGTTTTACCTAGTTATGTAGAGAGACCATTTATTTTATCGGGAGAGGGGCACTGTTGCTTGCGGCCAGCTCAGTGACCCTTTTATTTGCGTGAAGAGCATTATTATTTTTTTAGGGGCCAGTTTTCCATCTTGAGGGGGGCACAGTTTTAATGATGCGGGCGGGGCACTAATTGTGCTTTCAAGGGCCAGTTTTTCATTTCGAGAATAGCCTTGCACCAAGGCCTTCGTGGCTTAACTTGCCCGCATTAGACAAAATTTAAAAATAAAAAATGCCAGTCTAGTTTTCCACGAGACCGTGACCGCGTAATTGTTCTTACATTATCTTGTTTTAATTGTACTAATAAAAGTATTTCAAGAAATTATTTGAGTGAATGAACTTATTTTTCATCTGAACTTACAGTTATTTGCTCTTACATTTTCCTTTTTTCACCCTTCTTTTAAAAATGGAAGCGACTAGGCAAAATCCGCGTTGTGATTGGTTAACCTTCAGCACTCTTCTTATTTGCATAAAAACTATGAATAATTCAACAAAATCAAGTTGGAAAAGGCCTCATGGCATTGCCACTCGTACGTGATTGCTCCAGTCGCTTCGGGACTTCGCAGCCTCGCCGCTCTAAGCCACGATGGCCTTTGCGAAAGGCTATCTCGAGAAGTAATAGCGAGAGGAGCACTATTGCTTTTGATGGCCGATTTTCCATCTCAAGAGGGGCACAATTTTATTAATGCGAGAGAGGTATTCGCGCTTTCGAGGGGTAGTTTTCCATCTCGAGAAGGTGCACAATCTTGTTAATGTGAGAGGGCTACTTGTGTTTTTCAGGGGCAGTTTTGCATTACAAGAGAGGAGACAATTTCTTTGGTGCTTTCATACGAGTGCGTTTGAGGAGCAGTGTTGTTTTCATCTCAAAGGGGGCTTATAACCGCGAGCGGGGCACTTTGTTGGCCTGGGAAAATCTGGGGGGTCCTCTCAGTGCCCCCTCCCCCGTTTTCGCCGCTCCTGCCTCTATACGAGTTCCTTTCACGTCGGCTACAAAAAAAAGACCCCAACGAAAGACTTTCGTGGATTATCCCGGTCAATTCAAATGCAGAATAATCCTAAATAGATCTCAAATCCTTTTCAAATAGATGTGTGCTTTCAGCCACTGGGTGTACAAGATGGGAGTGTGCCCGACTCCAGTTTTACAGCTTCAAGTTGGCGAAGCAACCTTGATGAAAATGACTGTCTCCCCGCTAACGGCCGGCTGAATATTGGTCACGGGAATGACGGCACAACCTTAGGCGGGTGGTGCCCTGCAACCAACAACACAGATGACGAACCTTGGCTGGCCGTGGACCTTGGACAGGCATTGCGAGTAGAGGGCGTCCTCACCCAAGGCGGTAACCATAGCGATCCGGCCATGATGGAATGGGTGACCAAATTCCGGGTGGAATACAAGGTCCACAGTTCTGACAATTGGATGAAGATCAAGAACAGAAAGAGAAAAACAAGGGTAGGTCGGGCGGCACATTCACGTCAAACTTTCTGTCCATGTACATTACACTTTGGATAATACAAAATGTCTTCATTGTTCACTACGCAAGTTGCAGATGCGACGGCTGTTTCCTATACCATGCATTTATCGTCTGGGGGCCACGTGCACTGATTGCTATTCAGGATCCACGGCACAGGAAACAGCCGTCGCATTAGCAACTCGCGCCCTCGCTAGACAAGCAATTTGCATCTGTATCTGTATCTGTATGGCTACGTTGCAGAAACCTATTCAGGCATTATCGCAACGGAGTACTGAGGTAGGCACTGGGAGTTATGTATATTATTAGATGAATGAAGTACATGAGAGATATGAGACCCATTATGTGGCACCAGGGCTTACAAGGTGCTGCGGCCACTGCCAGAAACACCGGGGCGAACCCCTTCTCTTAGCGACAAGTGTTACTGGGTTCTTTAACGTGCATTACACAACACACGGGACCTACGGCTTTGCGTCCCATCCGAAGGACGAAGCCTTAGGGTAGCAGACCAGTAAATAAACTTCCATAGACCCCAATGGTGAATGCTCCCACTTCAAAAATTCGGGAAAAATACTCACAACTCTCCAAGGTGTTCGAGACGCACATCAAATTAAAGCTTATTTCATCATCTTTCATTTTCTTTTCAATTTTCGGGGGGTCAACTGATGACTTTTAGGGGAAATTTCCATCTGAAGATGATCACCCCTGAAAATAGTCCTGAAGCCCATCGCCATTTTGAAAAACGATGCCTACACTCCATTGCAAAATAGAGCGCTTTTAGGGTCCAAAGTACATCAAAATTACACAGAACTGCAAGCTCCCAGTCCTGTGCACGGCTTCCACCCATATTTTTTACAAACCCTCAAGTTCATGGCCCAAAGCATGCCCAAATACCGAAGATTTTGAGGGCATGCAAATCGTGATTTGGCCGGCGCAGGCGATTTCGGACCGATTTACTGGTCTGCACCCTTAGTGGTAAAGTACCACAGCACACGAGTCGAACACCGTAACCATTGGACCACAGCACCCCATAAACGCGACGTCACAGATTGAGGTCATCTCTAGCTCTTGTCACATTCAAAATGGCTGCCATCACCGGACGTTTCACGAGTGCATATGGGCTCCAGAAAGATTCAAGAATATCTCGGAAAATTGAACATCATTACACCTAAGCATCCCAGAAGTGATAGATGGGACATCATAGAATACAACCATATGTAAGAAACTGCCTGTAATTTTTATGAAAACGCCCTCAGAAGTGCGCGGTACCACGGTGTGTGGCCAGAGGTTCAGCGCAGCATACCGTGGCCACACTAGTGGGGCTACAATAAGTGGTCTATAATGAGATGAATTAAAGAGGCATTCTCCGTGCTGTATATTCGAAAGTTTGACGGTTTGCAAGAGGACGATTAAAATAAGATAAGGTTTCCAAAATCTCTTTTGTGAGTTTGTGAGTTTAGAATAAACTGCCACCAGACAATAATTCTGTCCTTGTGGGATAGGCTGGTTCCCACTGCATAATCAATGTCAATGTTGTAGGCCTACGGTTTGCCAGGCCTACGGACCGCGAACCAGTTTGCTGACAAGGCGAACCACATTGTGCCCAAAAATATAAGCTTTCTTTAGATAGTTTAGGGTTTAAACAAAAATAATGAAATACAATACAATTATTTTGGTTGGAATAAAACGTACATTGTACAGGTTGAAAAGTCGATTATTTTTAAGTTCACGGGAACCAACTTGTCTTATGGGGATTGGTGAAGGCAAGTTTGATTTTTGGAAAGTTCCTTTTGTGGATATATATTAACACGTTTTAGCTTTACTAAGGTAGATTGAAAGTGGTCATTGAATATCAACTCTGAAAGCTAAATCCCCGTGACAGTGTTACTACATTAAAGCAGTAAAAAAAAAATAGAAATGATAATATGAATATGTTGAGAACAAATTGGAAGAAACAGTTGCTAAAAGATTATATTTTTGCTCATCCCTGTTAAAACAAAGGTTCAATATTTAAAGTCATGATTTCCACTCTCTTTTAACACTTTAAAAGGTATTTCCTGGGAACGAGGATGTAAACACACCTGTTAGACATCTGTTTTACGTACCCACCGTGCTTCGTTTTATCCGGATTGTGGTCATGGACTACGAAGGGTACCCCTCACTACGGTTTGAGGTTTTAGGATGTAAAGGTGAGTGAATGCACAAAGACACTTCGTTTATCCTGAATGGAATTTGTTATTGTTATCTTAATGGGATCAGAGTGCATGGCTTAATGTGCAATCGCAACTAATTCGTTTCAAAAAATCATTTTTACAGTGGCACACAAACAAAAACTTTCAAACCAATAAAGTATTTTCACCCACTTTGTTCAATTGTTATTAGAAAATGTTAAAATGAAACTTTTTTTATGAATTATCCCCTACAAAAGTCAAGTGTAGCTGGTACCCCTTTTCCGACATTTAAATTGTGTTTACTTTTGTTCCTTCTTCTTTTGATGAAGCTCCATCCAACATAACATGTCCAAGTCCCGACTCGTTCACGCTTGCACCAGGAATGGGCGAAGTTGAAGTGGTGTTTCCTGCTGTCACCAGTACCGATCCTTACTTCAATCGTTTCACTGTCACGATCAGTGACGTGGACCCACTGGTGTCCAGCGGAGGTGTCATGTGGCGAGTAGGTGAAAACTCCACATTCCCTCCGCCAATGAACAGCAATGAGCAAACAGTTCATTACATTGCTACCGATGATGCCGGGAACCAAGCAACATGCGCATGGACGTTTGAAGTTATCGGTAAGCCATAAACTATACTGAAGACATGGCACCCTTTTCAATTTTGTGGCACTGCGAAGAAAATTACTCATAATGCATTGTGTAATCGCTATGTATGTACATGTAGTGACATGACTAGCTCTGATTCATGACTTCATTTTTGACAGCCTACTCAGCGAATGAAGCGCATCTTTCTCTTTTCAGTGAATTAACCATTGCATTTTTTTTCTTCTTCAGATAACGAACCTCCAGAATTTGATAACTGTGAGAATGTTACCTTATATACCGACCCTTATAAGAATTATACCACTGCAATCCCAAGTGCACCAACGGCAAGTGATAATATAGCAGCGACTGTAGAATGCTCAGCAATCCCAAATCAGCTGGAAATTGGTGTTCACCAAGTGTCTTGCATCGCCAACGATTCTGCGTCCAACACCGACATGTGCGAGTTTGAAATATATGTAGTAGGTAAGTGTGACGACTTGAGAATGCCTTATGAAACACAGAAACCCAATTTTTGACACGTGAAATTGATGAAATCCTGGGCATACTATTCTTTGAAGAGTGAGTAAAACTAACTTCAGAAGGCGAATCTTGGTATATTTTTTTAGTACTTTTAGTTACTTTTCATTGAAAGAGGCAAAGGAACTTCTTTACGTATTTTTGTTTTAAATAATAATCTTGCTAACTTTTTCCTGCTATATTTTTCTCCATAGACATTCAAGACCCTGTCATCTCCTGCCCATCTAGGGGATCATTCCCAACCGAACCACGCCAACCAAACGCTACGGTGGTTTTTCCTGGAGACTACGTCGCTTCAGACAACTCAGGCGACTTCCAAGTTATCATCACGGAATTGAGTCCTAACTCCAGTGAGCCTAATGGAATGACGTGGACCGTCGGGGACGCTGTGGTATTAGGCATTGGTGATCACACCTTCTTCTACCTGGTTACAGATGGGGCTGGGAATGAAGACTACTGTGCTTGGGATGTCGAGGTGTATGGTAAGATTCTTTCTAACTTTAGATTGCCAGAAGGCGGCTGAATATCCAGCCCTATAAGTGAAAAACCTAAATAACGGACTTCAGCTGCACAAGACAGAGTTAGGAACCGAATCGCTACATCCTGGTGAAACAAGTGTTTCTGATATAACGGATGCACAACTGTCTTCACAGTAAAGCATATTGAAACTTAGGCTGTAATCCACTTAATGCAGTTCAATTCCAATGTCTTTCATTTGTCAATGTCGCAGGTAACAAACCACCACAATGACAACGCCCACTTATATGTTCAGTGATTTAATCTTGCTCACTTTCTCCTATTATGTTTTGCAATGTAGATAATCAAGACCCTGTCATCTCCTGTCCACCTAGTAGATCATTTCCAACCGACCCAGGCCAACCCAACGCTACGGTGATCTTCCCCGATGACTACGTCGCTTCAGACAACTCGGGCGACTTTCAAGTTATCGTCACGGAATTCAGTCCTAACTCCAGTGAGCCTAATGGAATGACGTGGACCATCGGGGACGCTGTGGTATTAGGCATTGGTAACCACACCTTCTTCTACCTGGTTACAGATGCAGCTGGAAATGAAGACTACTGTGCATGGGATGTCGAGGTGTACGGTGAGAGCTTTCTGTCGTTCACTTTAGATTGCTGGAAGATCGCTGAATATTCAACTTTACAATAACTAGATATGGGACAACCGATATACCGACATGAGCTACACAAAACAGTGCTAAGAACCGTTTTCCTGATGTAAAGAGGAACGTGTCTCATTTGTTGCGCGATCAAATGGCTAAATGTGTAACTTGCTGACAGTTAGAGATACTAGTTGACATACTAGACGCATCAGAATTCCTTTCTGCACAATAAAAGATATTCAAACAAATGGTTCAAACCACTGCATAAAGTTCAATTGCAAATTCTTATCTTTCTTAATATCTTAGATGACCAACCTCCAGTATTACAATGCCCCTCTGATGTGTTCAAATCTACCTTAGCTGGTTCGGATATGGGCACAGCCAGCTGGTCACCTGTAACTGCGACCGACAACTCCGGCGTAATGTCGACTATTGTTGCCTCTCACACGTCAGGACAAATGTTCACACTCGGTGAACACACTGTGGAGTTCACTGGCATGGACCCTTATGGCAACGTCGGACGATGCAACTTCACTGTCACAATCACAGGTATTGCCTTACTCTATATAATGATTTGTTTTAGAAACATGACTAAAACTGCAAATTTCAGTTGAACGAATCTGAGCAATCCTCAACAGACACGTTTTGGCAATCCTTAGTTAAAACTCGTCCTGTCTTGACACATGTGAACTATATATTCCTTGCTATAATGCAAGCGCTTCGAAGCCTCGCTGGCACTGCCTGACTTCAATCTGGCGTTGCACTCTCCCAAACTTCACAATGAACGAGCTTTGATGTTCCGCTGCCTTTCCTGCATGGGCCTTATTCACAAGTTGGTCGTTTTTGTCGAGTTCCCTGAACGTATTTCATTAAGTGTTAAATGTTCCATGGGATTCTTTTTTAATCTGGCTTTAAACATTAGGGAATTTTTAATTACAAATTTAAAAATTATTCATTGAAGCAGACTAGAATTAATTACGAAATAATATGCTCTCATTTCTCTTCTCAAGTTCCAAAAAATAAGATTTCACCTTGCTTTCAATTCGTCACCGTTTTCACGAACAACCACATACTATTATGTTGATTTTGAAGTAAAGTGTTTTCGAGATAATCGCAAAAGAAGTTTCTCATATTTTAAAACTACAAGAAATACTACTTTGCAACAACTTTGTGCAGCAAGGAAACCATCACACGATTCTACGTGAGCTGAAGTTTTCCATAAACCCGGAAATAAGACTTGCTACAGCAGTTAATTAGTGAAAATTAATTAGTACAGATATGTGGCTCTTCGTAAAAACGCAAATTCACGTTTTCTGTTCAACGTGTATTTCCATAGACGCGCGTGAGTACGCGCGCGCAACTAAAAAAAAGGAAACAAAGATGTGTGGCTCTTCGTGAAAACGCAAATCTCATTTGACCTACTTTTAGTACGTATTTCCGTGCAATGGGTTTTGTACGCGTACAAAGGGCCAAAATGTATGTGGCTCTCGTGAAAATGCAGTTATGCAGTTGTCGAGATTTTTGCCCCTTGCAACATTAAAGTAACTTAGAAATTAATGATGTTGTGCATACAGAAACATGTCAAAATGGTTAAGTACATTGTTTTAATGCAAAATATTGAAAAAAAAAATCAAAATCGAAAAAAAATTTGTAATTTTGGACATATGTGGCTCTTCGTGAAAACGGTGACGAATTCAATATGGCCGACTCGTGAATAAGGCCCAGTGGAGTGTACTGCTCCAGTGGGCTTAATGACTGATTTGTCATACAGTCTAAGCTTCGCTGTGGATGTTTGCAACGGCTCTTCTGTCTGTAATTTTCTGTTTGTTCTGAAGTAGTCCTGTTCTGCATGTAGCATTGTTGTCTATCAGAAATTCCGGTGCTGCTGCTTTACCACATGACCGAGGTCTGGTCTGTGGATTTGAAAGATAATTGGTGCCTTTGGCCTATTAGCGTTCTTCTTTTCTGGTTTGCAACACTCTAAAAAAGAAGTGTGAAATTGTGTTGTGTAAAACTGTTGGGGACAAAAAAATGTAATTTCTGCTCAGTATTGAGTGAAATAACAATTTCGCTTTTACCTCCTCCTTGTGTCATATGTGTTACACATGAAAAGGGTAAAAAAAAATACGTAACATTGACTACAAGTTCCAGCAGCTCAGGCAAAAAGGTAAAATTATGGTATTATCACCCAAGTGATGGGTTAAAGAAAATTAATTTACCCCACAACTGCGTCACAATTTTTCATTGTCACGCCGAAGAGTACAATTTACCACGACATTGGCAAAAATGTTATCACTGTGCAGGGTTAACTGACACACGTGATAACGTTACCCAAAATTGTGCACTCGTATCACTCATGTACAAGATGGCCGCCGCTTGTGAGGCCCTAACAAGTTAGGCAATTGAAGACGTAATTCCCTTGTTCAAGGTTAGTCAGTGAAATGAATCTCAGTGTTGTTTCCTCCAAATGCGATGCTGATGAATAAGGATTACTATCGGGGAGATTGGAGGACTGAAATGCTTATTAATGAGACAGTATTTGCAACATGAACCTCACGCTCTGCCAAGCACGTTTACATGCATGCGTTGTATAGTGAGTCTTCTCATCTATAGAAACACACAGTCAAGTGACCGAAATTTTGGGGAAACAAATTGTAATGAGTCTATTGACGGAACTTCTAACACCCCTGCCCATCGTAATAATCCTCATGCATAAGCACCTTACATGTATATTATATTTATTCATTTAACTGGCTTTTAAACCCAGGATTCCGTTATTGAAATACCTTGGTTTAGCCCAGCGATTGCTGTCTCTGGCAATTAACATTGCAGAATTCAAAGTTGAAATAAAACCTCAAGGGTCAACATACAAAGGTGCACAATAACTGATTAAAAAACCTTCAAGTAATGGTAAATTTAGAACCCAACGGTGTAGGGTAGAATTAGAACCCAGTATCTGGGTAAGATTACAAGTTGACGACCATGTTCCCTTATTTTCTCAAAAAGGTAGTACTTTTTTTTCCAACATTGAGCAACTATTTTTTAGAGTGAACTTTTGCCAGATCTGCTGACTGGTAGCTTATTTTTGGTCCGGGGGTTTCCTGTTCCTAGGAGAAAAAGGAAAATCCTGACACATGAAGATGCAAGTATACGTATGTATATATACTCAGTATTCGAAGTAGTTATGCCGGCCAAATAATTTGTTTTTTGCTCCTACTTTAATACGTTGTGTAACAAGAAGATGTAATATGATTTGTGGATCTTTTCTCTCGTCTGAGAAGTGGTCGTGGGAAAATAGCAAAATGTCTGGTACGTGTAGGTTGCGGACCAGTAAATAGGCCCAAAATTGGCCACGTCAAATCATGATGTGCATGCCCTCGAATAATCTGCCGATGGAGCATATTGAGGACCATGAACTTCAGAGTTTGTTAAAAAAAAAAGTACAAGCAGTAAACATGATTGCAAGCTTGAATTTCTGTGCAATTCGGATGATCAATTTTCCAATGGAGCGTAGTTATTTTTGTTCAAAATGGCGATGGGTTTAAGGACTACTTTCTGGGAAGATATTTTTCCAACTGGAAATCAAAATAGTAATAATAATGATAATGTATATATTTCTTTTTTAAAGGAACAAAACCAAAATGTGAAGAAGAAAAAATAAATTAAATTTGATATATGTCTCAAACACCTTGGAGAACTATAGGTACATGTATTTTCCCTCCTTTTCGGATTTTGGGGTATTTATCAATGGAATCTTTGGTAGTTTATTCAGAGGTCATTTTACTTTTCGATTTCTGACTAAGGATGTTCCCAATTTTGCAAGGAGTCCGATTTTTGGCACATAATTTGTCATAATTAATACATTCACCATAGTATTATCGTGTGTACTAATACATTCACCATAGTATTATCGTGTGTACCGTTCACCCTGAACCAGCTTCATGGAGGCATGAAGTATTATAATTAGAATTACAAGTTAGGGCCTATTACAAGTTGCATTTATCCTGAAGGGAAATTTTACACTCGCACATAAAATGGTTATACATTTAAGAAAAAGAAAGTATACGTTGGAACTTATCACAATACATACACACTAAACAACAGTTCCTACATAAAATAACATTAGGTATTTTGGACCCAAGATTATACACGAGACTTCGATAATCAGCGCTTAAAATTAGCATGACAGCATTTTATATGCACGCGGGACAAAATGAATCCCGATATCGGTTATTAGGCTACCCTCAGGATTGGGAGTCAAAGCTAGCATTGCTGCACCTGTCCCACATTGATCACAGAGCTGACCATCAAGGGGATTACTCGAGTCATTATTGATTCACTTCGCCAGACGCACTGATAGACAGTGGTTAGCAGTTTCTAAGTTTCCCAAATCACACGCCCAGCCCGCTTCATCACCCTGAGATTATGTCCCTTTCCATTTTGCTTACATTTCCAACCCAACAAATCAAACAATATCGCAAAACATTGAATACAATTGAGTTACAAAACAACATTAAATTTTCAGTTCGGCATTAAAAGTAGCCATTTTACGTAGACAGTAACTCCTAGTATTTACTTTTTGTACTGCATTTGTCCACATGATCTTGCCAGGTAAGCTTATCATTCAATGTTTCACACAAATATGTTTATGTGGGCGAGATGAGAGCCGCGGGCTATTAATATAAATACGGTAACTCAAAGTGTGCACTAATTGTTTGTATTTTTATTTTGGAACAGAATTTTGCATTGAACCCCTCGGAATGGAAGATTTGGGTATCCATGGGTCTAGTATTTTCGCCTCCAGTTTTTTCAAGTGGTCGAGTAGTGATAATATCAGGCATCTATGCAGAGCACAGAACGCCCGATTGAATCTTCCGCTCGGCACTAATCCAAACCGGCAGAACGGAGGATGGTGTCCCGATGAAGCAGACAAAAACACCACATCATATATACAGGTTGGTGTCATGAGTATTGCAGGTAAACATCTTGTGATAGGCCATCAGCCTGGTGGTTGGTCGGTATCAAGTTAGGGGAATAATGCTCATGGCGATTTTTGGCAAGGTATGCACCCCTAGAGTTGGAAAATATGTGATAGCATTGCAACGGTGGCAGCTTTTTGGGTGTTATCACTTTTTTTTCAAAATGGCCGCCAAAATGTGTGTTTCCACATATAAGTGGCCATATCTAAACTCATAGAGAAGTTAGGACAGTACGTTGGTGTCTATAACTAGGTTTGAGGGGTCGAATATTTCATTTCTGTCTTTGCCTCAAACACTGGAGCCTTGCTTTATATGAGAATCCCAAATGGCCGCCAAAATGGCTGTCAAAATGCTGATAACACCCGAAAACTGCCACCGCTGCAATGCTATCAAATATTTTCTAACTCTAGGGGTGCATATACCTTGCCAAAAATCGCTATAAGCATTGTTCCCCTAACTTGATACCGGTGGCCAAAATTTTGGACCAAGGCTGATGGCCTACGAGTGTATTATGTTAAACAATGATAAATAAAGTCTATATTCGATTTTTTTTTTGCTTGTACCCACCCCTTCGAAGGGTGCTGCTGACCTTATATAAGTAAGTAGTACTCGAGTCCCTGACTCGTGCTCGAGTCTCAATCGATTAGAGTTACACTTAATTACATAGGCAAAAGACTCGGACTGGCACTTGACCATCAAGACCCGAATATACAACGTCTTGGCCTAAGACTAAGGATGCGTCCGCACAAAATGTACGTGCAGTGATTGTCACTATATGTTACCCACAAGAATATTGCTGCAATTTGCACGTTGATCACATTGGTCACCTGCGCCTTGGACAGGATTGCGGACATCACTTGTCCCATAAGCCCTATCCGAGATCTTCTTTAAGGGCGCTCTCATTGGATACATATACCCGTGGTCGGCATTGCCATGTTCCCACGACCTTTGCGTACAAAACGCTAGAACATGTAGGCCTACACCGCCTATTGCCAGTAAGCTACCAACAATTCTTTGCGACGTCTGTATTTATTTCAAATGTTTGTTTTTTTGTGAAAGAGATTAGGATACGTGTAGCTACGCGATAAGTATATGCCATTTATGCGGATCGGAGAAAAATAGAAGTGGCTTGCTAAATCACTCATTTCAAAAGTTATTTCATGTGGCACATTATGGGCAATGATTCATTTTATATAAAAATCATAATATTTGGGTTTGGTAATAACAACACAAAAAGGGGATATTAACAGCTGTTTTTGTTTTTGTTTTTTGAGCCGCGTACGTATCCCGTGTAAGCATCATTTGTAATGTTCCCTAATATGGCAGGCACTTATACACAACCGTGATCCTGGATCTCAGGGATCCTTCCCGAGAGTTGGTTCAGCGCCCCCGAATTTTCTCAGCCCAACAAAAGTGCCCCTCTCGCGATAATAAATGTACCCCCTCGAGATGAAAACAAGACTGCCCCTGAAACGCGCACGTCTTAAAGCATAGGTACGCGCTACAAATACAATTGTCTCCTCTCTTTAAACAAGTACCCTCGCATTAACAAGATTGTGCACCTTTTCGAGATGGAAAACGACCTCTCGAAAGCACAAACACTCCTCTCGCAATAATAAAACTGTGCCCCTCTCGAGATGGAAAAGTGGCCATCAAAACAAAAAACAATACTGGTCCGCTTGCGATAACCACGAAAGATGGAAAACTGCCCCTCGAGAGTACAATTAGTGCCCCGCCCTCAAGAAGGAAAACTGGCCCCTAAAAATAATAGTGTTCTTCAAGCGAATAAAACGGTTAGTGAACTGGCATTTAAAAAGCAACAGTGCACAACTCGCGATAAAAAAAAGGTCAGGACCATATTCTTTTCCTCCACTTTCACACTGACGGAAGGTCCCCCCCCCCCCCCCCCAGTTTCAAAAGCGTTCGACCGGCCCTGCATACAAAGTTAGCCGTCCTCTTTTTTTCACTTTTGGCTTGCCAAGTGACTTTATATACGGATCAGGCACATTATGGGCCTTCAAGGACTCGAATTGGGATCTGTACCGAAACAAATGACCCAATAGAAATCAGTTGGGGAGACCATAACCACTGGTCGGGATTCTTGAAAGCACTGCCACTGTTCCGGCACACACGCCAAGATGCTAAGGGTTTGTACACAGTCGTGCAATATACGTCTAGTGATCAGTAAGCGCAAGTTTTGTGTCAAATACATGCAACACTCTGCAAAGGAGCAAAATACTATCTTCTGTTCATAACCGGAGTACAAGAATGGAGCAATTCACACTTACAAAACGGTACATTTGCAATCGGAATCGCTTGCAATAGGGTCATTACGTGAATGTTTGGTTTGGCAAAGGTTTCTCTGTTTTCTCAACACATGTATAAAGCATCCTTTTAGTCGAAATTCCAACAGGACAGTTGTGAAGCAAAATTGTGTTGCTTCAATGGAGCAAAAAATAACCTACAATGATCTCATGACCTTATAAGAAGCTTCGTTAAGCATGACAAGTGAGTGTGCAGGGGCAGACGGCCACTCAAACGAAACATGTGTGTTATGTGGTCAGGTATCCAGTCTACACTGCGATAACAATGGGGGTAAACTCTCTCAGGGTAGTGTGCTTTATCAAAAGGATTCAAGAAATAAGTAAGAATATATTTGCTTAATTGCTATCACATAACATTAACTCTAGATCGATCTTGGTCGTTCGCTGCAAGTTGAGGGCATCATAACCCAAGGAGGTGGCTTCACTGACACGGATGAATGGATCGAACAGTATCAGCTTCGGTATCGTTACGCTAAGGGGCAACCTTGGAATTACATACTTGATGAAAATGGCGATATCAAGGTACGGAACATCAGATTTGAAAACCAAAGTAGGCTAAATCATAGATTAAGCAATTATTCATAGTGAACAAAAATGAACAAAGTGAAGCATCGACCCTGAAAAGTAGGAACAGTTCCGGGATATATCCAGTTAGTTCTCCTGAGCTACGCATCCTAAAGAAAATCCGGCAGCTGCGTCTCAGTTCATTGGAACCAGAATTTTAGCAATTCCATTGTGTCAACTGTTTATTTCTCTCTTTTTTCCCGGATCGAAATACCCGTAGAACGAAAGAACAAACGTCGTTTTATGTTCATCACTTGTATGAACTTATGGTAGATTTGATTTGTTTTTGCCTATTAAAGGAATTCACGGGAAATACTGACAAAAGTTCCCCAGTGACCAGGATCTTTGACGCGCCAATAACGGCTCAGTTCATCAGATTCATACCCACAGCGTACCATGTGTGGCCTACACTCCGAATGGAGCTTCTTGGTTGCAGAGGTAACGTAACGCACCTTTCAACCTTATCTTTTTTCAACGTTTCAAGATAGAATTGAAGATTGCTAAGCGCATGACTCATGAGGCACCATCTCTTTATCTCTTGCCTGGGGTGCCGCATAGGAATGTGGGGTAAAACGATTAATCCCACTAACTCCATATTTTTGGTCGTCAATTAATGGTTTTGAGTGGAATGCCTTCATAAAACACTGTGCCATCTAATGTCATTTCTGTCGAGTCACAGCCAACCTAATTCCCTTTTCCATCTTTGTCAATCGTTAGTTTTTGAGGGATTTCAGAAAAAAAAACACGTATGTATGTTGAACCTTTCCTAATATCATGTGAACATAATTTGGCATACACACGGCAAACGCAGTGAACAGTGTAAAACAGACACCTAACACGGATGTACGCATCGTGGTAGAACATTTTGTAGGCCCCATACACTGCAATGTTGAAAGCAGTGTCCGAAATGCCAGAAAACATTCATATGCAAAATTGTCGGTCGCATGGAGCGATGTCCCTTTCCTGTTTTTGGCGAGCTGCGAAGCAGATGCGAGCCTATGTAATACCAATTTCCATCCGTCTGTCCGGGCGCCCGTCTGTCCGTTCTGACCATACCACCCTTGTGGGGTGATGTTCCTTTCAGGACACATCACCCCACTTTTTTTACAATAGAAAAACATTACCCCAGAAGGGAATCTTTAGAAAAAGGGATAATGGGAACACAATGCTATCACCCCACAATTCCGTCTGGCTGGAACGTCCGTCCGTCCGTCCGTCCGTCCGGCCGTCATGATAAAAATGTTGAAGTTTTTGGTTCTAGTTAACTTGGGGAAAAGAATTAAATGCAGTTGTCATGTATCATCTCTATAACTTCAGTTAGGTTCATATCATTTCAGTAAATTTTTATGATTTTATTGAGGAACTTAATTCAAGGAAATGTTAAAGTTTTTAATTGTTACATGTACATACTGGTGTAACATGTACATGTGTGTATACCGGTATAACATGTACATGTACACTATGCATTTTGGGGATGTGCATGAGATTCTGGTTTGATCTTTTAGTTTATGGGGTTGGAGTAGGGATGGGGTAGGGGAGGGTGGGGTGGGGTGGGTTGGGGATAGGGTTGGAGTTAGGGTTTGTGTGAATAGGATGAGTAGGGGAGCTAGGATGGTAGGGGCGGGGTGGGTGGGGTGGGGAGAGGGGTTGGAATACTGGGTTTGGGTGAGGTGGGGATTTGTAGGGGTGGGGTGGGAACAGGTAGGGAGAGACAGGTAGGGGGAGACAGGTAGGGAGAGGATGGGCATGGATGTAGGGGTTGGGTTAGGAGGGGGTTGGGCAGGTGGCGGGATATAGGATCGGAGTAGGGTTGGGTTGGGGATGGGTAGGGATGGGTAGGGATGGGTTGTTGTAGGGGTTGGATAAGGGGAGGGGGCAGTACATGTATATAGGAATCAGAGTAGGGGTTGCTGGGGTCTGGGGTGGGCGGGATATTGGAATTCGAGTAAGGGTTAGGGTGGGGATGTGTAGGGTGGGTAAGGACAGATAGGGGAAGATAGGGTAGGTGGGTGTAGGGGGTAGGGGAGGGTACGGGTCAGGGGAGGGGGAAGGAGATAGGGATTGGAGTTTGGGTGGGTTTGGGATGTGTAGGTGATAGGGTGGGGATGGTTAGGGGAGGATGGAATGGGTGTGGGTAGGGGGTTGGGTGGGGGAGGGGGCGGGTTGGGGATGGGGTAAGGTTTTGGGATGGGGTAAGGTTCGGGGGAGGTGGTGATGGTGCTGTGTCTACATGTACATGTATACCCATTCTTGTTCTGCATTTGTGGCGACTACACAAGAGTTTTCCCATGGTAATACAAGTATGGGGAGCAGAAGACACTGTTGGGGGTGCAAAAATCCACAACGGGGTCCTAATTACCCTAACAATGGAAAACTCCCCCATAATACAGTGACGGCTAACCTACCGGTATATACACATGTATTTATTAGGTAATCTGTTGACTTTTTATGTTGACATTTAAAAACTGACCCCTACACCTAGGCACATCAACATGAATCCTGATCCCCTTCCATCATGCCCATCCCCAACCCTACCTTCAGCCTCCCTTCCTGCCTTGGACAGCGAGCCATGGCGGCTTCGCCGTTCTAGTTAATGTCAATTACCAAAATTTTGTACACATTGCCTACTTCAACATTTGTTGTTTGTTGATTCGTCTTGGGCAATCAAATCCACTGAGTGTTCTATTTAGCATCGGTATCGCTTGTTTCAAAGCAGTTAATATTTATCCCAAAACGTCCTACCCACGGATCCTTATTTTTTCGGGGGGGGGGGGGGGGGGGGTTTGTACTCATTGCGCAAATATTACATATAAATTTACTTCTATTTTAACATGGAATTACTTAAACATTTATTTGCACTAATTTTGTATACAAATCGCTTTCAACACATTTTTGCGTGGCTAAAGGCCTATCTGGTCAAATAATCAAACACATTTTGTTACAAAGGTACCGCTTTATTAATTTGACATTAATATTAAACGGGCTGGATTCCTCAGATGATGAAGCACCGAAACGCCAGTCTTAAGGTCGCCACTTTAAACCCCGCCCCAGAGGGTTTTTACTGGGCTCAACTTTAAAACTAGTTTGAACATTAGTTTTGAACAATAGTTGAACATTTGCTTGCACTTTTCAGAAATACTCCTTAAAGATTTTTTTGAAATCAAGTTTTGCAGCGCAACGCCCACATCGGTATGCATCGACTTACACACTTTCACAACACTGGTTAAATTTGGTTGGTAAAAACGTTGTGTATTTTTTTTCCCAATGTGACCAATGCTGGGTACATTTTACCAAACGTTGGGTAAAATTGGCATATTGTTTAACCAACCTTTTAGTTTAACCAACTGTTGGGCTGTTCACCTGGTAAGCAGCGGTTAGTAAAAATAGTTAAACTAACCCAACGTTTGTGAAATTTGGTTAGGTTTAATCAACGTTGTGTAATATGACTAATTTTAACCAATCGTTAGTTACCAGGTGAACAGCGCAACAGTTTTTAACCAACTTAAAAAGTTGGTTTAAAAATGAACACATTTTACCCAACGTTGGGTAACATGTACCCAGCATTGGTCAAATTTGAAACATTAACACAATTTTGGTTAAAATTTTAACCAACTAATTGTAAACCAATGTTTTGAGAGTGCACCTCCTGGGTTGCTATGCAAGGCGAGGCTGCCGCTACGCACAGTAAAAAAAACACGAACAGAGCTAAAATTGTTGATATCATGTGGTGTGTCTTGACTTATCAATATACCTGATGCTATAAACCCAGTAATTAGAAAATCTTCTGCTACTGATTCAACATGTAACCTGACTCACTTTTTAAATAGATGTGTGCTTTCAGCCACTGGGTGTACAAGATGGGAGTGTGCCCGACTCCAGTTTTACAGCTTCAAGTTGGCGAAGCAACCTTGATGAAAATGACTGTCTCCCCGCTAACGGCCGGCTGAATTTTGGTCACGGCAATGACGGCACAACCTTAGGTGGATGGTGCCCTGCAACGAACAACACAGATAACGAACCTTGGCTGGCCGTGGACCTTGGACAGGCATTGCGGGTAGAGGGCGTCCTCATCCAAGGCGGTAACCATAGCGATCCGGCCATGATGGAATGGGTGACCAAATTCCGGGTGGATTACAAGGTCAACAGTTCTGACGATTGGATGACGATCATGAACAGAAGGGAGAGAACAATGGTACGTCGGGTGGAACTTTCAAGATAAACTATTTGTCCATGCACAGTACATTTTGGATAATCTAATTTTTTTCCCATGGTATAACAGAAATTCTTCAATTAGTGGTCTTGAACTATGAAAGCAATTTAAGTAGCCTTCCACATTTTTTTGTTTGGTTTCATCAACTGAAAACTATTTCTATTTCTAAACTGCTTTTTCACTCACTTTTGAATGAGACATTGAACAAAAAAAAATGGAAACAATTAGTTATTGAAACAATTTCTATACACATTTCAAATTAACAAGCGCCCAGACAATAATTGCGTTCACGCAAGATAGGCTGGCTCTAGCCCGACTGCGTCTGGCCGTACAGTACTATCGCAAGCTCTGTAGTACGGCCAGATGCTGAATGCTTCCAAAAAGACTGAATTTTTTGGGCCGCTGATGTAGCGATTTTGCTACATCTTTTAATCGAGATTATCTTTTCATCCAGGACAAAAATGTCCACAGTTAAGGTTCTTAGTCGTAGAGCAACTCATACCTTTTCGAAAAAACGTTCTTTGGTCTCAATATTTTCATCCATCTGGCCAAAAGACGACTTTCAGTCATCATCTTCCACAAATATCGTCCCGAAAATGCTCCCCCATGCGATTTCAAAATGGCGGCCGCGCTGTAACTCATGAATATGCATGAAAAGTCTGTGACGTATGACCTCGTGTTTTTGGACGTGCGTGCGGCGGCGCCGTACGTACATACATGTATGTACATGTATATTACTTGTAGACAACAGCCCAGTACGTGCATGCACACCGCCGCGCGGACGTACGTGTGCATGCACGTACTGGGCTGTAATGTACATGTAGTCTTTTTGGAAGCATTCAGCGTCTGGCCGTACTACCAGACTACAGAGCTTGCGATAGTACTGTACGGCCAGACGCAGTCGGGCTAGGCTGGCTCCCGACCCACAACGAGTATCGATAATATACTGACCGGGAGCTAGTCTGCTGGGATGGTGGACCTGAACTTTTTTCTGAGGGTTGGAGGTGCTATAAAAAAATATATTTATAAACATGTAGAGGCCTATTTTGGTTAAAAAGTAACATAAAGATTGAACAGTTATGAACAGAAAAAAATATCGAAACTTTTTTGTGCACAGGAACCAATCTTAAGCTGCACGTGGTACATGGATTGATAAAGGCATTTTTTTAATGGCTCGTTCATAATGTTGGTATGCACTAACAAGTGTCGGCCATAGTGAGGTTGGTTGAAAGTGGGAATTGATCAAAATATCATTGAGAGTATTGTTATAAGAAATCAGTCAAGAAAATAGTGAGATTAAACATATAATGTGTTGTGAACATACGTGACGGATTTGATGCTTAGACATGTTAGAGATGATCTTGCTGCTCCACCCCCTTAATGTGGATACAATCTTAAGTCATGAATTCTTCCTCTCACTTTACCCTTCTGAAGGTATTTCTTGGGAACGAGGATGCAAACACACCAAATAGACATCTGTTTTACGTACCAACCGTGGTTCGTTTCATCCGGATTGTGGTCATAGAGTACGAAGGGTACCCCTCTCTACGGTTTGAGGTTTTAGGATGTAAAGGTGAGCTAATGCGCAGACACATTCAAATTCCAAGGACATTTCTTTAGCTTAAAAGGTCGATGCGATACATTTTTCTTAGGAGCACACTTTGTGCAACTCCACTCCTCTTAAGAGTATACGAAAACTATTTAACATCACTTCTTAGTAAATTTTGTGGAAATGTTCACTTCTTAAAACCTTAAAAATGGTCCAAACTTTTCTGGACAACCCGGCGCTGTTGCTGTGAAGTCATTTCAGAAAGACATTGTTCAGTTTGGGGGTTTTCTGTTCAAATTGTGAACTCAAATTTTCCTCATTGAAAACTTTCGCTCAAAAATAAGGAAATTCGTAGTAGGTTAATAACAAAAAGTCTTCAAAACACACTTGAAACCCTTGAAAATGGCAAGACAACATTTAAAAATAAGTTAAATAGGACACAAAGGTGCATTTACAAGGATAGCGTAAACAAAAATGCATTGCATGCAAGAGGTGTCAATTGCAATGCATTTATTCCTCAAACATTTAATCAAAAAATAAGGTGATAGGGCCTTACTGTCCAGTCTTGACTAGACCTTCTTCAAACAAATGACAGTGATGCAAGAAAAAAAACATGTAGGTGACAAACAGGCACACAGGGATAGAATGATAAACAGAAAAGAGGTATTAAGGAGCAAGGGTGGGTGAAGATCAAAGGGGAAAAGATAAGGTTTGGAGGAAAAGAGGGAACCAAGGGGTGTGGGGTAGGGAAAGTCAAAGAGACGGGATTCAGACGGAAGGGATGACACTGGTGGATGGATATAAAGGAGTGTTGCAGCTCATAAAGTGTTAGCTGAATAGGAGATAAGAGGAGATGATAATTAGGATGAGGGAAGAAACAGATGGATTAGGCAAAGGATAAAGTGACAAACCACAGGAGGTTTAGCCACTAGGATTCTCTGTAACGAATGACTATGAGGTTGACAATTAACAGGTTAGTCACTCGCTTCTTTAATTTTGTTTTCAAGTGGTTGAATAGTCCGTTGACAATTCATCTACACTTTTTCCCTGCTGAGGTGAACTGATTCCTTTCAATGGCCAAATGATTGTATGCAGGTTGAAATGGTAGGCAACATGGCAGTCTCGTCTCTTAATGTTGACATTCGAAGACCATAGAAACGCTTGAATGTGTTTTTGGTCTCAAAAGAATGACACAGAAACAAACACTTTGAATTCACAAACACTCATCCTCTTTGTTAATTGCGAAGCAATACCAAAATGAAAACTTTTTTAATGAAGGTCTTCTTCGAAAGTCAAGCATTTATTAATCGTGTATTTGCTCCTTCTTCTTTTGACGAAGCTCCATCCAACATCACATGTCCAAGTCCCGACTCGTTCACGCTTGCTCCAGGAATGGGCGAGGTTGAAGTGGTGTTTCCTGCTGTCACCAGTACCGATCCATACTTTAATCGTTTCACTGTCACGATCAGTGACGTCGACCCACCGGTGTCCAGCGGGGGTGACATGTGGCGAGTAGGTGAAAACTCCACATTCCCTCCGCCAATGAACAGCAATGAGCAAACAGTTCATTACATAGCTACCGATGATGCCGGGAACCAAGCAACATGCGCATGGACGTTTGAAGTTATCGGTAAGCCATAAACTATACTGAAGACATGGTACCCTTTTCAACTTCCTGGCATTGCGAAGCAAATTACTCATAAATGCATTGTGTAATCGCCAATATATGTAGTGACATGGCTAGCTCTGATTCATGACTTCATTTTTGACAGCCCACTCAGCGAATGAAGCGCATCTTTCTCTTTCAGTGAATTTACCATTTCATTTTTTTCTCCAGATAATGAGTCTCCAGTATTTGATAACTGTGAGAATGTTACCTTATATACCGACCCTGTGTGCCGACATCAGCTATACAAAAAAAATTTGAAGCCGTTTATATATGACCGGGTAATTCGCCATGATAGCCAAAGAAAGTCTTTCGACTTGTTTCTAGTTGGGCTTTTTGGTAGAAGCTGTAGAAGGAAATTACAGTTTTAGTGGTTGGAGGGAAAACCCCAGAATGATATTATCGGGAAATCTAACGCAATCAGGTAGATGACTAAAAAGCCAATCTACGTATTGGCCCAGGCGAGATTCGAACCCAGGTCACAGCGGTGGAAGGCCAGGAAAGTACAGCTACGCCAAACAGAGTCCCAACCCTGATATCACGGGAACTGTGATACAACGAGTTTACCTGAAATAAAGTGGAACGTGTTTCCACCGGTCACCTAGTAATTGCCCCAAGTCAAGGTCTGGTAACTTGCTGATAGATATATACTATAGTTGACATATAAAAAGAAAAATCAAGTGCACTAGCAATATTTTTCCCAATATCCTAGATAACCAGCCACCGGTATTGCAGTGTCCAACCGATCAGGAGGAATCTACCTTAGATGGATCAGATATGGGCATGGCTAGCTGGTCACTTGCAACTGTGACTGACAACTCTGGCGTAGTGTCGACTCCTGTTGCCTCTCACACATCAGGACAAATGTTCACAATTGGTGTACACACTGTGGAGTTTACTGCCATGGACCCTCACCCTGATGGCAACTTGGGACGATGCAACTTCACTGTCACAATCACTGGTATTGCTGTTCTTCAAAAGAACGTTTTCTTTTACTTACATGTCTTACTACATATTTCTATCGAAACAGATTCAGATAATGAGTCTCCAGATTTCGATTCTTGTGAGAATGTAACTTTAGTTACCGAGTCGGATACAGATTACACAAGTACACTCCCAAGTACACCAACGTCAAATGACAATGTAGCAGCGAGTGTAGAATGTTCGGAAAACAAATCGTCTTGAAATTGGTGTTTACCAAGTGTTTTGATTGCTAGCGAATCTACGTTCAATACCGCGCAGTGTGAGTTTGAAATATATGTAGTATTTATGTTCATATAGTTTCCCTGTCAAATCTCCTCCATAGATAATCAAGCCCCTGTCATCTCCTGCCCACCCAATGGATCATTTGCAACCGACCCAGGCCAACCAAACGCCACGGTGATGTTTCCTAATGACTACGTTGCTTCAGACAACTCGGGCGAGTTCCAAGTTATCATCACGGAATTCAGTCCTAACTCCAGTGAGCCTAATGGAATGACGTGGACCGTCGGGGAAGCTGTGGTATTAGGCATTGGTAACCACACCTTCTTCTACCTGGTTACAGATGCGGCTGGGAATGAAGACTACTGTGCTTGGGATGTCGAGGTGTATGGTAAGATTCTTTCTAACTTTAGATTGCCAGAAGGCGGCTGAATATCCAGCCCTAAAAATGAAAAACCTAAATAACTGACTTCAGCTGCACAAGACAAAGTTAGGAACCGAATCGCTATATCCAGGTGAAACAAGAGTTTCTGATATAACGGATGCACAACTGTCTTCACAGTAAAATTTATTTAAACTTTCTGACTTTAGATTGCTGGAAGATGGCTGAATATTCAGCCATTTATATGACAACCATGGACCGACATCAGCTAAATTAAACAGAGTTAGAAAGTGTATTCATATATCCAGGTGAAACAGGTGTTTGTGATGTCGGGGTGATGGTCTACGGCCAGAGGAGAGAGAAGCGGGTCTGGAGGTCTGCGGTGACACGTATGAGGTGGTGGAGTCGTTCTGCTACCTGGGTGACATGCTGGGTGCTGAGGGAGGAGCAGATGCAGCAGTGACATCACGCGTGAGGAGTGGGTGGAAGAAGTTCAGGGAGCTGGCCCCATTTTTGACATCCAAGGCGCCGCCCCTGAAGATGAAGGGCCAGGTTTACACCGCCTGTGTCCGAAGCAGTATGGTGTACGGCTGCGAGACATGGCCCACAAGGGTGGGGCACATCCAGCAGATGGAACGAGCAGAGATGAGAATGATCAGGTGGATGTGTGGGGTGTCTCTGGCTGACAGGCTGTCAAGCGAGGAGCTGAGGAGGAGAGTGGGAGTGGAGGGGATCGGCATCGTATTGAGGAGGCACAGGCTGAGGTGGTTTGGTCATGTGGAGAGAAAGGAGGATGTCAACTGGGTCAAGAGGTGTACCAGCGTAATTGTGGGTGGGCCCACACCCGTCGGCCGACCGCGCAAGACTTGGCAGAGCTCCGTGTCAGATGACATGCGACTGCTTGGAGTCAATGCGAGGGACGCGACGGACAGGGCCAAGTGGAGGAGAGCCATAGGGAGAAAGCAGGCCAACCCAGAACAGACTGGACAACGGCCTTAAAACCGACATGATGATGATGTGATATCTCATATGTACGATTGCCTGCATAATATGAGATATTTCAAACAGTGTTCTAACCGACTTAATAAAGTTCAGTTCCAATTTCTTGTATTGTAAATATCTTAGATTACCACCCAGGATAATTAAAATGACTCATAATGTGTTTCATTAAAGAATCTTTCTTACTTTCTCTTATTAAACCTGAACCGTAGATAATCAAGACCCTGTCATCTCCTGCCCACCCAATGGATCATTCCCAACCGACCCAGGCCAACCAAATGCCACGGTGATGTTTCCTAATGACTACGTCGCTTCAGACAACTCGGGCGAGTTCCAAGTTATCGTCACGGAATTAAGTCCTAACTTCAGTGAGCCTAATGGAATGACGTGGACCGTCGGGGAAGCTGTGGTATTAGGCATTGGTAACCACACCTTCTTCTACCTGGTTACAGATGCGGCTGGGAATGAAGACTACTGTGCTTGGGATGTCGAGGTGTATGGTAAGATTCTTTCTAACTTTAGATTGCCAGAAGGCGGCTGAATATCCAGCCCTATAAGTGAAAAACCTAAATAACGGACTTCAGCTGCACAAGACAGAGTTAGGAACCGAATCGCTTTATCCAGGTGAAATAAGTGTTTCTGATATAACGGATGCACAACTGTCTTCACAGTAAAATATATTTAAACTTTCTGACAACCATGGACCGACATCAGCTAAATTAAACAGAGTTAGAAACTGTATTCATATATCCAGGTGAAACAGGTGTTTGTGATATCTCATATGTACGATTGCCTGCACAATATGAGATATTTCAAACAGTGTTCTAACCGAATTAATAAAGTTCAGTTCCAGTTTCTTGTATTGTAAATATCTTAGATTACCACCCATCATAATTAAAATGCCTCATAATGTGTTTCATTAAATAATCTTTCTTACTTTCTCAAATTAAATTTGAACCGTAGATAATCAAGACCCTGTCATCAAGAAAACCAAGTAAAGTAGCAATTTCGTATCTTTATCAATATCTAGATAACCAACCACCACTATTACAATGCCCCACTGATGTGGAGGAATCTACCATAGATGGATCAGATATGGGCATGGCTAGCTGGTCACTTGCAACTGTGACTGACAACTCTGGCGTAGTGTCCACTCCTGTTGCCTCTCACACATCAGGACAAATGTTCACAATTGGTGTACACACTGTGGAGTTTACTGCCATGGACCCTCACCCTGATGGCAACTTGGGACGATGCAACTTCACTGTCACAATCACTGGTATTGCTGTTCTTCAAAAGAACGTTTTCTTTTACTTACATGTCTAACTACACATTTTCATCGAAACAATCAGAACGATCCTGAACAGACGTATTGTATTATACGATTTTACTAAATATTTCAGAAGGGACTGCAGTTGCGAATTACTAATCCCAGAAATCAATTCATTGATGTCGAAAAAAATATCCGAATTATAATAATTGATAATTTACCAATGGTACACATTGGCTATTATTTGTTCTCTCTCGGAAGCTGAACTTTTTATATAAAATTTGCCCAAAAGATGTTTTTTAAGTCGGTAGACTAACCAAAACCCAGCAGATAATAAACATAATACGCAGTACTTCGCTGGCAACTCGGACCATGGTGCCGACAGACGGACCTGGACTGCCTAACGACTTGAAATTTGTATCCGAGTTGGAATTAGCTCTCCAAATTATCACATTGCGTTTACATCAATGCCTCGTGGAAGGCGTTGTTTAACACCCTTTTTAGCTTAAAAATGCCGATGTTTTGCAGGGTTTTAAAACTTGAACAATATTAAACCGAGGGTTGGACGCGTTGCTAGCCTAAACATATTGATAACAATATAACAATATCACATCAAAATATCACATCAAGAATTCGTTGTATGTTTTTATTTCATTTTTATCTCTATAATTCAGATAATGAGTCTCCAGATTTTGATTTATGTGAGAATGTAACTTTAGTTACCGAGTCGGATACAGATTACACAAGTACACTCCCAAGTACACCAACGTCAAATGACAATGTAGCAGCGAGTGTAGAATGTTCGGAAAACAAATCGTCTTGAAATTGGTGTTTACCAAGTGTTTTGATTGCTAGCGAATCTACGTTCAATACCGCGCAGTGTGAGTTTGAAATATACATAGTATTTATGTTCATATAGTTTCCCTGTCAAATCTCCTCCGTAGATAATCAAGCCCCTGTCATCTCCTGCCCACCCAATGGATCATTTGCAACCGACCCAGGCCAACCAAACGCCACGGTGATGTTTCCTAATGACTTCGTCACTTCAGACAACTCGGGCGAGTTCCAAGTTATCGTCACGGAATTGAGTCCTAACTCCAGTGAGCCTAATGGAATGACGTGGACCGTCGGGGAAGCTGTGGTATTAGGCATTGGTAACCACACCTTCTTCTACCTGGTTACAGATGCGGCTGGGAATGAAGACTACTGTACTTGGGATGTCGAGGTGTATGGTAAGATTCATTCTAACTTTAGATTGCCAGAAGGCGGCTGAATATCCAGCCCTATAAGTGAAAAACCTAAATAACGGACTTCAGCTGCACAAGACAGAGTTAGGAACCGAATCGCTTTATCCAGGTGAAATAAGTGTTTCTGATATAACGGATGCACAACTGTCTTCACAGTAAAATATATTTAAACTTTCTGACTTTAGATTGCTGGAAGATGGCTGAATATTCAGCCATTTATATGACAACCATGGACCGACATCAGCCAAATTAAACAGAGTTAGAAACTGTATTCATATATCCAGGTGAAACAGGTGTTTCTGATATCTCATATGTACGATTGCCTGCACAATATGAGATATTTCAAACAGTGTTCTAACCGACTTAATAAAGTTCAGTTCCAATTTCTTGTATTGTAAATATCTTAGATTACCACCCACCATAATTAAAATGACTCAAACCACTAAACCAAGTAAAGTAGCAATTTCGTATCTTTATCAATATCCTAGATAACCAACCACCACTATTACAATGCCCCACTGATGTGGAGGAATCTACCATAGATGGATCAGATATGGGCATGGCTAGCTGGTCACTTGCAACTGTGACTGACAACTCTGGCGTAGTGTCCACTCCTGTTGCCTCTCACACATCAGGACAAATGTTCACAATTGGTGTACACACTGTGGAGTTTACTGCCATGGACCCTCACCCTGATGGCAACTTGGGACGATGCAACTTCACTGTCACAATCACTGGTATTGCTGTTCTTCAAAAGAACGTTTTCTTTTACTTACATGTCTAACTACATATTTTCATCGAAACAATCAGAACGATCCTGAACAGACGTATTGTATTATACGATTTTGCTAAATATTTCAGAAGGGACATCAATTGCGAAGTAACTAATGCCAGAAATCAATATGCTGATGTCGAAAAAAATATACGAATTATAATAATTAATAACTTACCAATGGTACGGATCGGCTATTATTTGTTCTTTCTCGGAAGCTGAACTTTTTAAATAAAATTTGCCCAAAAGATGTTTTCTAAGTCGGTAGACTAACCAAAACCCAGCAGATAATAAACATAATACGCAGTACTTCGCTGGTAACTCGGTCCATGGTGCCGACAGACAGACCTGGACTGCCTAACGACTTGAAATTTGTATCCATGCTGGAATTACATGTAGCTCTCTAAATTATCACATTACGTTTACATTGGAAACGCCTTGTGGAAGGCATTGTTTAAATAAATTTAACACCCTTTTTAGCTTAAAAACGCCTATGTTTTGCAGGTTTTAAATGTTGAACAATGTAAAACCGAGGGTTCGAAGCGTTACTAACCTAAACATAGTGATAACAATATCACATAAAGAATTGTGTTCGTTGTATTTTTTTAATTCATTTTTATCTCTTTAATTCAGATAATGAGTCTCCAGATTTCAATTCTTGTGAGAATGTAACTTTAGTTACCGAGTCGGATACAGATTACACAAGTACACTCCCAAGTACACCAACGTCAAATGACAATGTAGCAGCGAGTTTAGAATGTTCGGAAAACAAATCGTCTTGAAATTGGTGTTTACCAAGTGTTTTGATTGCTAGCGAATCTACGTTCAATACCGGGCAGTGTGAGTTTGAAATATACATAGTATTTATGTTCATATAGTTTCCCTGTCAAATCTCCTCCGTAGATAATCAAGCCCCTGTCATCTCCTGCCCACCCAATGGATCATTTGCAACCGACCCAGGCCAACCAAACGCCACGGTGATGTTTCCTAATGACTACGTCGCTTCAGACAACTCGGGCGAGTTCCAAGTTATCGTCACGGAATTGAGTCCTAACTCCAGTGAGCCTAATGGAATGACGTGGACCGTCGGGGACGCTGTGGTATTAGGCATTGGTAACCACACCTTCTTCTACCTGGTTACAGATGCGGCTGGGAATGAAGACCACTGTACTTGGGATGTCGAGGTGTATGGTAAGATTCATTCTAACTTTAGATTGCCAGAAGGCCGCTGAATATCCAACCCTATAAGTGAAAAACCTCAATAACGGACTTCAGCTGCACAAGACAGAGTTAGGAACCGAATCGCTATATCCAGGTGAAATAAGTGTTTCTGATATAACGGATGCACAACTGTCTTCACAGTAAAATATATTTAAACTTTCTAACTTGAGATTGCTGGAAGATGGCTGAATATTCAGCCATTTATATGACAACCATGGACCGACATCAGCTAAATTAAACAGAGTTAGAAACTGTATTCATATATCCAGGTGAAACAGGTGTTTCTGATATCTCATATGTACGATTGCCTGCACAATATGAGATATTTCAAACAGTGTTCTAACCGAATTAATAAAGTTCAGTTCCAGTTTCTTGTATTGTAAATATCTTAGATTACCACCCACCATAATTAAAATGCCTCATAATGTGTTTCATTAAAGAATCTTTCTTACTTTCTCAAATTAAATTTGAACCGTAGATAATCAAGACCCTGTCATCAAGAAAACCAAGTAAAGTAGCAATTTCGTATCTTTATCAATATCTAGATAACCAACCACCACTATTACAATGCCCCACTGATGTGGAGGAATCTACCTTAGATGGATCAGATATGGGCATGGCTAGCTGGTCACTTGCAACTGTGACTGACAACTCTGGCGTAGTGTCGACTCCTGTTGCCTCTCACACATCAGGACAAATGTTCACAATTGGTGTACACACTGTGGAGTTTACTGCCATGGACCCTCACCCTGATGGCAACTTGGGACGATGCAACTTCACTGTCACAATCACTGGTATTGCTGTTCTTCAAAAGAACGTTTTCTTTTACTTACATGTCTTACTACCTATTTTCATCACACAATCAGAACAATCCTGAACAGACGTATTGTATTATAGGATTTTGCTAAATATTTCAGAAGGGACATCAATTGCGAAGTAACTAATGCCAGAAATCAATACGCTGATGTCGAAAAAAATATCCGAATTATAATAATTGATAATTTACCAATGGTACAGATTGGCTATTATTTGTTCTCTCTCGGAAGCTGAACTTTTTATATAAAATTTGCCCAAAAGAAGTTTTTTAAGTCGGTAGACTAACCAAAACCCAGCAGATAATAAACATAATACGCAGTACTTCGCTGGTAACTCGGTCCATGGTGCCGACAGACAGACCTGGACTGCCTAACGACTTGAAATTGGTATCCATGCTGGAATTACATGTAGCTCTCTAAATTATCACATTACGTTTACATTGGAAACGCCTCGTGGAAAGCGTTGTTTAAGTAAATTGAACACCCTTTTTAGCTTAAAAACGCCTATGTTTTGCAGGGTTTTAAAAGTTGAACAATGTAAAACGGAGGGTTTGACGCGTTACTAACCTAAACATATTGATAACAATATCACATCAAGAATTCGTTGTATGTTTTTATTTCATTTTTATCTCTTTAATTCAGATAATGAGTCTCCAGATTTCGATTCTTGTGAGAATGTAACTTTAGTTACCGAGTCGGATACAGATTACACAAGTACACTCCCAAGTACACCAACGTCAAATGACAGTATAGCAGCGAGTGTTGAATGTTCGGAACACAAATCATCTTGAAATTGGTGTTTACCAAGTGTTTTGATTGCTAGCGAATCTACGTTCAATACCGGGCAGTGTGAGTTTGAAATATATGTAGTATTTATGTTCATATAGTTTCCTTGTCAAATCTCCTCCGTAGATAATCAAGCCCCTGTCATCTCCTGCCCACCCAATGGATCATTTGCAACCGACCCAGGCCAACCAAACGCCACGGTGATGTTTCCTAATGACTACGTCGCTTCAGACAACTCGGGCGAGTTCCAAGTTATCGTCACGGAATTGAGTCCTAACTCCAGTGAGCCTAATGGAATGACGTGGACCGTCGGGGAAGCTGTGGTATTAGGCATTGGTAACCACACCTTCTTCTACCTGGTTACAGATGCGGCTGGGAATGAAGACTACTGTACTTGGGATGTCGAGGTGTATGGTAAGATTCTTTCTAACTTTAGATTGCCAGAAGGCCGCTGAATATCCAACCCTATAAGTGAAAAACCTAAATAACAGACTTCAGCTGCACAAGACAGAGTTAGGAACCGAATCGCTATATCCAGGTGAAACAAGTGTTTCTGATATAACGGATGCACAACTGTCTTCACAGTAAAATATATTTAAACTTTCTGACTTTAGATTGCCGGAAGATGGCTGAATATTCAGCCATTTATATGACAACCATGGACCGACATCAGCTAAATTAAACAGAGTTAGGAACTGTTTTCATATATCCAGGTGAAACAGGTGTTTCTGATATCTCATATGTACGATTGCCTGCACAATATGAGATATTTCAAACAGTGTTCTAACCGACTCAATAAAGTTCAGTTCCAATTTCTTGTATTGTAAATATCTTAGATTACCACCCACCATAATTAAAATGACTCATAATGTGTTTCATTACATAATCTTTCTTACTTTCTCATATTAAATTTGAACCGTAGATAATCAAGACCCTGTCATCAAGTAAACCAAGTAAAGTAGCAATTTCGTATCTTTATCAATATCCTAGATAACCAACCACCACTATTACAATGCCCCACTGATGTGGAGGAATCTACCATAGATGGATCAGATATGGGCATGGCTAGCTGGTCACTTGCAACTGTGACTGACAACTCTGGCGTAGTGTCCACTCCTGTTGCCTCTCACACATCAGGACAAATGTTCACAATTGGTGTACACACTGTGGAGTTTACTGCCATGGACCCTCACCCTGATGGCAACTTGGGACGATGCAACTTCACTGTCACAATCACTGGTATTGCTGTTCTTCAAAAGAACGTTTTCTTTTACTTACATATCTAACTACATATTTTCATCGAAACAATCAGAACAATCCTGAACAGACGTATTGTATTATAGGATTTTGCTAAATATTTCAGAAGGGACATCAATTGCGAAGTAACTAATGCCAGAAATCAATACGCTGATGTCGAAAAAAATATCCGAATTATAATAATTAATAATTTACCAATGGTACGGATTGGCTATTATTTGTTCTCTCTCGGAAGCTGAACTTATTAAATAAAATTTGCCCAAAAAATGTTTTCTAAGTAGGTAGACTTACCAAAACCCAGCAGATAATAAACATAATACGCAGTACTTCGCTGGTAACTCGGTCCATGGTGCCGACAGACAGACCTGGACTGCCTAACGACTTGAAATTTGTATCCATGCTGGAATTAGCTCTCCAAATTATCACATTGCGTTTACATTGGAAACGCCTCGTGGAAGGCGTTGTTTAAGTAAATTGAACACCCTTTTTAGCTTAAAAACGCCTATGTTTTGCAGGGTTTTAAAAGTTAAACAATGTAAAAACTGAGGGTTCGACGCGTTACTAACCTAAACATATTGATAACAATATCACATAAAGAATTGTGTTCGTTGTATTTTTAGCTGTTTCTAATTTCAATTGGAAACAGCTCTTGCTTTCGTTAAATTTTTTTTTTTTCGGCTTTTTCGCAATTCGTGCGAAAAAGCCTTTCTTTTGTTCTGATTTTTTTTCTTTCTTCCTCTTCCTCTTCCTCTTCTTCTTCCACTTCTTTTTTGCACAAAATCCCATAGACTTTGTACACGTTTTTTCTACACGCCACTTTTGGCCTTAAGTTAAAACAATTCCGATTTCCTTCAAACCTGGCACATACTTAGAACATCACCTGCAGATGTGTGCCGAATCATTACGCCATGCTGACGTCATCACGCGATTTATTATAGAATTTTGTATATTTGATTTTTCCCATAGACTTTGTACACATACATTTTAAAAAAAATGTCGATTTTCAGAGGGCATTTTCGACTCTTTGCCAGTATTTCATTTACACCAATCTTTGTCCAAGCAAAGACCCTCATTCAAACAACATTTTGTAATGATGACGTCATGATGACGTCATCCGGTGTTTATTTATAGGCAATTAAATTGTGACACTTTTAATATTTAAAAATGTATAAGAAATCAACCGTACGCGTCCGCAGCATTTTGTTGCCGGCAAGTGGTAGAGTCGGTTGAGGTCTTTATTTCATTCAGTGTGCGTGAAATCACGTGACCCTTGCTTCCGGTCGAAAAAGGCCAAAACCGGAAGTGGCTTATTATTTGAAAGTGGTCATAGATATGAACTTGCTTTTAACGGTGTTAGTTTCTTGGCTGACAGTATTCTTCAAATCATCTACCGATGACGTCATGCAATCTTCGAGCGCCCTCTAGCGACAGGTTGAACATTTTCAAAAATGTATTTTGAATAGGTGTCTGTGGCGAAGTTTGTCGGAATCGCCTAAATATTGGTGTACATGATGATCTTGACCCACTTAAGACGTGTGCGAAGTTTTAGGCGTATGACGTCATCAGACCGGAAGTTATAATGAAAAGACCTTTTTTCCTTAGAAAATTCCTGAAATATCAATCCGTACAGATTTTATCTTGAATTCCCCATTAAATGATAACGTAAACATTTGCCTCAACAGTGCAAAGGTCCCAGCTTGTCAAATTGTTCACACAGTTGACGCGGCATCAGCCAAAAAATATCGCGCAAGTTGCGGCAGAGAAAATAAAAAATGCCGACTCAACCAATGCAAGCCGCAAGTTTGTGCGTATAGATTCGGAATCGCCCGCTTCCCATACACCTGTACACCACACATGCACGTGGTCGTGAGGGAGCAGACCTACCAACAGGGTGACCGTTTTAGCCGAATTTCGGCTAAATTGGGCAGAATTTTTCGTAAAAAACAAGTTTGACAGAAAATTTGACAGAATGTATTTTTTTGGCAGATTTCTGACAGAATCTTCAAAAATGGTTATTTTCACAAGTACATAATAAACTTGTGTATTGATAGACTCAATTTTTACAATCCTGTAACTATTGAACTATTTGAACGATTGATCTCAAATTTGGTAGGTATACAGAAAGGGAAGTGTTATAGAAGAAAATTGATATGTCAAGGTCACGTGACCTTCACTTCCGGTTGTACCGGAAGTGGTAATTTTAGACCCCTTTATCATATTTCATGAATTATTAATCTGATTGGGTTGAAACTTCACATTGATACAAAGCTATATTGACAGATAATTATATTGCATTATTATTACTGTGCACTTAATTATGTCATGTTATGACGTCATGAATATTTAATGAGGCAATCTTTATAGTCCTATAAATATAGAACCATTTGACCGATTGATCTCAAACCTGGCAGGTATACAATCTGGGAAGTGTTACAGATAAAAAATGGTATGTCCAGGTCATGTGACCTCTACTTCCGGTGTCACCGGAAGTGTTAATGTAAGACCCTAATTAGCATATCTAATGAATTAGAAATTTGATTGGGTTGAAACCTTATATTAGTATTAAGCAACATTAAAGGATAAATATGTAGCATTATTATTAATGGGCAGTTTAATGTTTTCATGTTATGATGTCATGAATATTTAATGAGGCAATCTTTATAGTCCTTAAACTTTTAAAACTATTCTACCGATTGATCTCAAACTTGGTAAATATATGAACAGGGAAGTGTTATGAATGAAAATGTGTTTGTCAAGGTCATGTGACCCTTATTTCCGGTCTTTACCGGAAGTGCAAATATTTAAGATAATGATTTCAATTTGGAAAGTTAGACATTTTTGAAAATCTTTACATTATTTTCTACCATCTAACAGACAATCAAAAACAAGTTGGGAACAGCTCTGTGGTTGTTCAGGTACAACCACATCTAGTTTTATTTCATTTTTATCTCTTTAATTCAGATAATGAGTCTCCAGATTTCGATTCTTGTGAGAATGTAACTTTAGTTACCGAGTCGGATACAGATAACACAAGTACACTCCCAAGTACACCAACGTCAAATGACAATGTAGCAGCGAGTGTAGAATGTTCGGAAAACAAATCGTCTTGAAATTGGTGTTTACCAAGTGTTTTGATTGCTAGCGAATCTACGTTCAATACCGCGCAGTGTGAGTTTGAAATATATGTAGTGTTTATGTTCATATAGTTTCCCTGTCAAATCTCCTCCGTAGATAATCAAGCCCCTGTCATCTCCTGCCCTCCCAATGGATCAGTTGCAACTGACCCAGGCCAACCAAACGCCACGGTGATGTTTCCTAATGACTACGTTGCTTCAGACAACTCGGGCGAGTTCCAAGTTATCGTCACGGAATTGAGTCCTAACTCCAGTGAGCCTAATGGAATGACGTGGACCGTCGGGGAAGCTGTGGTATTAGGCATTGGTAACCACACCTTCTTTTACCTGGTTACTGATGCGGCTGGGAATGAAGACTACTGTGCTTGGGATGTCGAGGTGTATGGTAAGATTCATTCTAACTTTAGATTGCCAGAAGGCGGCTGAATATCCAGCCCTATAAGTGAAAAACCTAAATAACGGACTTCAGCTGCACAAGACAGAGTTAGGAACCGAATCGCTTTATCCAGGTGAAATAAGTGTTTCTGATATAACGGATGCACAACTGTCTTCACAGTAAAATATATTTAAACTTTCTGACTTTAGATTGCTGGAAGATGGCTGAATATTCAGCCATTTATATGACAACCATGGACCGACATCAGCCAAATTAAACAGAGTTAGAAACTGTATTCATATATCCAGGTGAAACAGGTGTTTCTGATATCTCATATGTACGATTGCCTGCACAATATGAGATATTTCAAACAGTGTTCTAACCGACTTAATAAAGTTCAGTTCCAATTTCTTGTATTGTAAATATCTTAGATTACCACCCACCATAATTAAAATGACTCATAATGTGTTTCATTACATAATCTTTCTTACTTTCTCATATTAAATTTGAACCGTAGATAATCAAGACCCGGTCATCAAGTAAACCAAGTAAAGTAGCAATTTCGTATCTTTATCAATATCCTAGATAACCAACCACCACTATTACAATGCCCCACTGATGTGGAGGAATCTACCATAGATGGATCAGATATGGGCATGGCTAGCTGGTCACTTGCAACTGTGACTGACAACTCTGGCGTAGTGTCGACTCCTGTTGCCTCTCACACATCAGGACAAATGTTCACAATTGGTGTACACACTGTGGAGTTTACTGCCATGGACCCTCACCCTGATAGCAACTTGGGACGATGCAACTTCACTGTCACAATCACTGGTATTGCTGTTCTTCAAAAGAACGTTTTCCTTTACTTACATGTCTTACTACTTATTTTCATCGAAACAATCAGAACGATCCTGCAGACGTATTGTATTATAGGATTTTGCTAAATATTTCAGAAGGGACATCAATTGCGAAGTAACTTATCCCAGAAATCAATACGCTGATGTCAAAAAACATATCCGAATTATAATCATTAATAATTTACCAATGGTACGGATCGACTATTATTTGTTCTCTCTCGGAAGCTGAACTTTTTAAATAAAATTAGCAGCGAGTGTAGAATGTTCGGAAAACAAATCGTCTTGAAATTGGTGTTTACCAAGTGTTTTGATTGCTAGCGAATCTACGTTCAATCCCGCGCAGTGTGAGTTTGAAATATATGTAGTATTTATGTTCATATAGTTTCCCTGTCAAATCTCCTCCGTAGATAATCAAGCCCCTGTCATCTCCTGCCCACCCAATGGATCATTTGCAACCGACCCAGGCCAACCAAACGCCACGTTGATGTTTCCTAATGATTACGTCGCTTCAGACAACTCGGGCGAGTTCCAAGTTATCGTCACGGAATTGAGTCCTAACTCCAGTGAGCCTAATGGAATGACGTGGACCGTCGGGGAAGCTGTGGTATTAGGCATTGGTAACCACACCTTCTTTTACCTGGTTACAGATGCGGCTGGGAATGAAGACTACTGTGCTTGGGATGTCGAGGTGTATGGTAAGATTCTTTCTAACTTTAGATTGCAAGGAAGCGGATGGAGATCAAGCCCTACGTAAAAACCAATAAACCGACATCAGCTAAGAAAACAGAGTTTTATTCGTAAAAATCCAGGTGAAAAATATACTGATATAACAGATGCACAATTGTCTTCACATATTTTAATACTAATGTGCTTATCCACTTAATAATAGTTCAATTCCAGTTCTGTTTATCTTTGACAATGTCATATGTAACAAGCCGCCATATTTATACTACTACTGCGTCAACTCGGGCCGCAATGACGGACTCTCCACTTCTCTCACTCCCTCATCAGTGTGTTCAGTTCATCTAAATGTATATGAGCCGCGACGCTGTTTTGAAGGAGCGTGTTGTTTAAGCGTTCAGTTGAAGTCTAACTTTATTGTACTCAATTGTCCACTCTTGTCAGTATAGCTGTTGTGCTTCCTTCATATGGTCAGAGACAAGGGTTATGCATCAGCAAAGTCCAGTTCTGTGACCGTAACTGGTCCAACCCTATTGGTTCGTCCTGGTTTTACGGTGAAACTAAGCTTCTCACGAACTTTGGTAGCTTGATGTAGAGCATAATGAAGGACGATTATATACATGAAGGGTGGCAAAGTGTTTCCTTGCAGCACACCAGCTAGGAGCTCGAGCACTGCTGTTTCTCCGTCCGGTGATACAACTTTCTCAATGGTCTTGGTATAGCTGGCCTATATTGCTTTTAGAATACAGCCCGGCACTCCAAAGACTTTTAGGATCTTCAGCATTTTACCCCAGTGGATGGAGTCAAAAGCTTTAAGAAAATCAATGAAAGTTAGCATGGCTGGTAGGTTGTTCTTCTTGACTTTCCTTGATGATTCTGCAGAGAGCAATTTTTTTGTGCTATCGTTGTGCGCTTCTGCTGAAAACCTTTCTGACAGAGTTTTTTGTGAGTCGAGTCGAATCGAGTCATTTTCAAGAAGTGACTCGAGTCGAGTCGAGTCATTAGGTCAAGAAGGTCGAGTCAAGTGAAGTCCAGTCACAGTGTGTAGTCGAGTCGAGTCGAGTCGAGTCGAGTCGAGTCGAGTCGAGTCAAATATTTGAACACAATATAACAAATAAAGAAAAGAGAGAAAGTCATTTAAATGCACAAACAGCACACAAGAAGTGAAACGTTGGTCTCATAGGCTATCTGGTTTGGTTTGCGGGTTTAGAATATCGTCCAGGTCGCAGTTCTTCATAATCTCTGCTGGTATCCTGTCTGGTCCAGCGCTTTTACCCTGCTTGAGTGCGTACTCGGCCTCTTTCAGTTCCTCCATGGTTAATGGACCCGTCATCGATTTTGCCTTGCGTTAATAACGTCGGTATGCCCTCCTCCTCTTCCGTGACCGTTGGAGGGCTTCGAGGCAGGTTCGTGAAGTGGGTACACCATGCCTGGACAATATCCTCAGCTGTCTTTCCACTTATTTCACCTGATGAGGACTTCTTCCGTCCGCTGATCTCGTTGACTAGACGCCATGCTTTTCCATGCTGCTTGCCTTCATTAGCAGCAACTACCTTTCGAATCCGCTCGGCTAGTTCCTCTTCCTTCAGTCGGTCGTAGGTGGCAAAGGAATTCTTTTTGCCGTCTTGAACTTTGTCTCCGAGCTCTTCTGTTTCACTCCTTCTAAGCTCGGCGTGACTTGCATTGACCACTCTTCTTGCTGCGGCGAAGTCAGGATGTTTCGAGATCTGGCTCTTCTTGGTTCTCTCCACAGTATAGGCAGACTCTTTGTTGCATCTGTGTGTGCGTCCATGAGGCGTTGATAGCGGTCGGTGGCAGACTCTTCCTCCTCCTTCTCTAGTGGGCCAAAGCCATTTATCACCTCAACCGTCAACTGTGCTTGAAGAATAGGTTGTACGAAAAGTGCCTTTAAGTCTATCTTCTCCTTGGGATCTGTGGATTTTTGGTACGGCAGGCTCAGTCTCACTTGCATTGACACCATTCTGTGGTCAGAAGTGACTAAGTTGAAGGCGCTACAGGCTTTTGTGTGTCCACGGTTTACCGTCAGGTTTTTTTAATTGAGTGTAAGTGGCAATGAGACTGTGTTCCTGGAGAAAATCAACTAGGTATTGTCCATTTCTGTTTGTAAGGTCGTGATATGAGTATTGGACGTCTCCCGGTCCGACCCGGGCTTTAAAATCAACGAGCACGTCCAGGAAGTTATGTACTGGTATTTAAGCGACAGCTTCGCGAAATTTATTGTAGAAGGTCTCCACCTCCTTCTCCTTGCTGAAGTTGTGCGGGTATTAACAGACGATAACGGAGGCCCCCGAGTCTTCAAATTGAAGCCTTTTGTTGACTTCTGATTTTAATTTTGGTGCCGATTCAATAAATCAATACTCAATTAAGCAATTGGAATTTGAAACATCCACCAATCACCAAACAAAGAGAACCAAACAATGATTCACTTTTTTTTTGACGCAGTTCATAGAGCCCGTGGCTTTTGTCGCAATACTTTTTTAAAATTACCCAGACACAGTATAATACACAAACAATACGAAAATAACCCATCAACCGATGCTCACAAAGACTACATTTTTAGTCTAACTATAGTACAATGGTATAATGACATGAACATTGGACTATATCTTATACATGATAAGCATAAGTGTAGCCAGGGGGGGGGGGGGGGGGGGGGGGGGGGGGGGGGGGGGGGGGGGGGGGGGGGGGGGGGGGGGGGGGGGGGGGGGGGGGGGGGGGGGATTTCCCCCCCCCCAATTATTTGTAAAGAGTGCCATTTTATGAAGTGCCCTTTTTTCTAAACAAAGTGCCCTTTTCAAAAAAGAAGTGGTGCCCTGTTTTGTTGCATCTGCCGTTGTGGGTGCCTTTTTCAGAATTTCGCACATGCATCGTCCTGAAAAGCACCATATAACTATTGGCCCTTTGTGTGCATAATTGTCTGTTTTGAACAGCGCCCCCATCGACAGAGGGAACCAGCCCCCAACCAGCCCCCCCCCCCTGCTTTTTTATTTCACGGAGGCCAAGTGTCCCAGGAAAAAATACCTGTCTACATTTCACAACAGATGTACAAGTGCCCTTTTCAAAAAAAAGTACCCCCCCCCAATAAAAATGACCGTGCTACACCCCTGAAAGGAGCTGCCTCACTGTCCTTATGACATTTTATCTAGATACATGTATTCCAAATTGCATAGAAATGATATTTTACGTTCATCAGACTCAACTCTATATGAAAAGGAATTCTCTTATTTTGAGTAATGGAAGAACAGTGAAACAAATATCGTATTCGTTTCTTTTAATGAGTGAAACATGTTCTCATTTACGAATGCTTAAATGGTGTTTAACTGTAACGACCAATGTAAATATTTTGAATCAAATTTTAATTGAAAGTTGATATTGGCAGATTAATCTTTTTAGCCTTACCATTTTTACATGCACAGCAACCTCCACACCAAAACCAGCCACTACCCATGAAGCGGAACCCAATTCAGACACAACCACCACAGGAAGCGTATCAGATGAAACTAATAATGGTATGTATTTTGAAAAAAAAAAAAAAAAAGACCCAGACACAGTATAATACCCAAACAATACGAAAATAACCCATCAACCGATGCTCACAAGTCTTTAGACTACATTTTCAGTCTAACTATAGTACGATAGATGTACATTGGACTATATGTAATACATGAAAAGCATAGGCGTAGCAAGCATAGGGGGGGGGGGGGGGGGAAATGAGGGGCGGGGGGGTATTTACCCCCCCCCCAATAATTTGTAAAGAGTGCCTTTTTATGAAGTGCCCTTTTTTCTAAACAAGTGCCCTTTTCAAAAAAGAGGTGGTGCCCTGTTTTGTTGCATCTGCCATTGTGGGTGCCTTTTTCAGAATTTCGCACACAGGTAGAAATGATATTTTACGTTCATCAGACTCAACTCTGTATGAAAAGGAATTCTCTTATTTTGAGTAATGGAAGAACAGTGAAACAAATATCGTATTCGTTTCTTTTAAAGGGAATATATTTACATCATTTGCTTTTGCTGTAATTTTCAGAAATGGATGGAATTGGGAGGTTTGAAATATATAGCAGATATAGTTACACTGACTTTTTTGAGGTTTTGGGTTCGAAAATGCTATAAAAACCAAGAAAAACAATCATTTTCCTGTAGTCTGGTTCCCTGACTCCATATAAGAAGAAACAGAGCAGTTTACATACATTGGGGAATTGTAAGGTCAGGGAACCAGTCTAGCTGGCTTGTACCCGTGCATAGGTGTGTAATCGATTGCAAACAAGTGCGATGGTCAATTGGGGCCAGTATATGAAAAAAGCCAGTTTTTTCCAACGCTGATCGACCGATCAGCGTTGGAAATTGATACAAAAATAGCATTTTTCTTGAAAATGACAGTATACCAGGTGCCATGATTTTACAGGATGCTTTACACTGTCATTCACTAACAGTCCAGCAAGGTATTTCTGATTTGGTAGTTTTATTTTTTGATGTTTGCAAATGTTGTATTTTCCCTTTAATGAGTAAAACATGTTCTCATTTACGAATGCTTATTGTTTGACTGTAACGACCAATGTAAATATTTGTGAATCAAATTTATATTGAAAGTTGATATTGGAAGATTAATCTTTTTAGCCTTACCATTTTTACATGCACAGCAACCTCCACACCAAAACCAGCCACTACCCATGAAGCGGAACCCAATTCAGACACAACCACCACAGGAAGCGTATCAGATGAAACTAGTAATCGTATGTATTTTGAAATGAAAAAAAAAGAAAGTCAAGCTATTTGATGGGGTCGTCGCTTGTTAGGTTGAAAACATTATTCATGGCATGGCTTTAACAAGATTTTTTTTGAATGAATGTTGCCGTTTTGCAATGATGCTGATTGCATTACCACTCCCAGGCAGAACACATGTATACATGTATATTGGATATATGTCAAATGAGGAATATGTGCGTGATGTTTTAAAATTGATGCAACATAATGTTAGGTTTTATTGGCATAGTTGCAATATGAGCAGTATATTCCACAGCAAAAAAATGATTTGATAATATATAACTTGATTTGATAACGAGATAACGTGTGTGAATTGTATATGCAGAAAGAATTGTGATGTTTTCTTTGGGGGGGAGGGGTTACTAAAGCATTAAGACAGGCGAGCACTATAGAGACGCTTGTTTCGTAATAGATTTTTTTTTTTTAAAGGAAAGTGTTGTTTGAAAGGTCCAATCGTCTAGCTACTTGACTCATGTATCCCTTACACAGGCTGGCCGACATTATCACCAATGACCATCTGGTGCGACACTGGCGATTCTTGACAACAGTTGCTTTAACCATGTGTATTGCGTTATATTATTGCATACTGTTACTTCATGACACCGTTGAGTAACGGTGATGTCAGCAAACGATTAAAATCTTGAAACTTGTTTTGGAACTTGTAGCAAAATACAGAACAATGTTTTGAACCGCTAGTTGTTTTTGTTCTATTAATGTTGGTAGTTTTAAAACATTCACAGGTATAATAACTTCTACTCCAAACCCAATCTCAGCACTTGAGCAAACTACTTCTCTTGAACCATTCACCGTCACAGAGACAGCCCAACTTACCGGTAAGCGAATATATCATGTGCTTGAAAAATTAAAACTGACAATCGTAATAGTTCTTATTCTCATTGAAACATTATTAACTATGGATAACTTCATACGGTCCAAACCTTTTTTTATTGTGGTATCCCTGAATTTGCATGGCATTGTTTATTTTGCGTCGATAAGCTTAAATAGGATCTTAAGTCTGACATGCACTCTTTTGAAAGGATCTTAATGCGTTTCGTATTAATGATAATATGTAGAAAAATCGTTAAATAAACGTACACATATAAAGTATACCTTGTGAGGTACAGTTTCCTTTCCTTGCGAGAATTTTGGTTCACAAATTTTGATGGCTTTATTCACTGTTAGAAATGGATAGGTCTATAGGCAAGGTCAAAAATATGAAGATGTAAACGAACGTTTTTTTTCCCTACGGTAAATGTACGATAATGTGTTAATTTCTTTATCACAGACCCTCATAATATGGCCAGTTAAAAGTATGTAATACCAGCGATCCTCGGACGAAAGTGCATCTTTAGGATATTGGTGGAATTATCCTCTTTGCTTAAATTCGTAAATGAAGGAGTACTTTTAAAATCCAATTACATTGCCGAAAATCTCTTTTTCACAAACTCAATAAATTCAAGCAAAAGCATTATTTTTTTTCAAAGACGCGAAAATTAAATGCAGATATATCATTGACCACAGGCAAACCCAATATGTGACTTTGGTTCAGTTGCGTACCCATTTAACTTTGAGGCCGCATAATCCCCAGGTTCAGAGCGTGGAAGAGGGGCACAAAGGGGTTCAGACTTGGAGCAGGCAGGGGCCTACGCACACGACCCACAACCCTCTTTGTTATATGTAATATAATAACAACAACAACAACATTAACAACAACAACAACAACAATAATAATAACATTATTTGTTGATTGTAGTCATGTCATCCACCATTGGCTTAGACAAACCACTGTTTAGACCCTCCTCCAAATTTAAGCGTAAGCGACGTTGAATTTCTTTAATGTTGTTTCAGATAATCACAAACACGACACATTCCGTTTTATAGCCAGTTTCACCGTCGAATTAGTCTCTAATAGGAACGGCTTCAAGAATGATGCCAAAGAAACACTGACTGTGAGTTTTTTAACAAAGCCCTTTCAGCTTTGAACGAATTTCGCAAGTTGTCGTCATTCAAGTTCAGTTCAGTTGATTCTTGCTCTGTGAATAATCAGGTGACGCCATGGGCGTTGGCAGAATTTGTTCTGGAGGGGGCAAATTTTTTTTTGCCAAAAATGTTTGTATCAGTTTTAGAGAGGGGCAGGGACATTTTGCCCCCCCAACTCATTAAATTTATACCACTTTGTCTTGCTTTTCCGAGGGGGGGGGGGGGCAAGTGCCCCCCCCCCCCTCGCGACGCCCATGGGTGACGCAAAACCTGATTGATGTTACGGTTTTGATCTTCATCCTTAGATGAGTGTAGCCCACAAAATGAAACACCTTGTTCTGGAGATCTCACCTGCATCTTTCTTCTAGGACGCCACCAGTGTGACTGTCCCTTTGCATCTGGTCAGAGCGGTGATTCAGATATTTGCATTGGTAAGATCACATTTCACTAGAAATCTGTTCCCGAACACCTTCAGGCCATGAATAGAACAGCCAACGATAAGTCAAACAGTGCAGGGTTTTATTAGGAAGATTAAGTTGGAAGGCGCATTTCTTTGGAAGTGGTTGGGCTTTTTATCCCCCTAAATGACATTATCTTGTAACCCAATTATTTTACTTTTCTAACGCAACCTTTTCTAGTACATTGTTTAACTGAAACTTCTTTAAAATTCCCGAACTTATTAAGACTTTCCGGTTACTTTTCTAAAACATTCTAAAAAAATCATTCTCTCTACAAGTAAATGAAAACTTTCAATCACCAAATGTTTGCTGTAGGGCAACTGCTGGATGTTAAGATCATTGTTTTGTTGAAGGTAACAAAATAAGACAGTGTTCAATGGGCAATATAATAATTTCTTGTGATACTTTCTGTTAGTAGCACTGATAGCGTACACCTGCCCTTGTAGGTAGGACGAACATAAACGTTATGATATTTGACTAAAACGAGACCCGGTTCACTAAGATAGAGACACATGTTTGTTGTAAGATCTTGCTTTAGAAAATGGAATAACTATCAATCTCTTTAAATGAAAATTCTAATAACGGCGTCTATTATAGGTCAATGGTCGATTTTGTAATGGATACGTGCGGTATAATGCTGTAATAAGTTTGTAACTCTTTTCAGAGGTAGATGAATTTCGTCTATCGATTGTGATAGTAGAGTTTGTGCGAAGCAACGGCGCCATCATAACAGCCGAGTTTAATAGCGCCTTCCTCGACCCATCGTCCTCTGAATTTCAAACTCTCCAAGTGGACCTGGAACGAATAGTAAGAACAAAAATCTTGCCCACATTTTACCAAATACCTGTATATCCAATAAAAAAACGAAGCCTTACCTGAAGAATCTGAAACTTTCATTCGTAATTTTAATGTACAAATTCAATAACTCTGAACGATAACTGTTAAAACTCTGAGTAACACGATTGTTGAATTTAAATTGAACACGATTGTTGAATTTAAATTGATTAAGTCGTCATTCTCCATTGATTAGATACATCATTATCTTACATAATAATCAATATCTTATACATAAACAAAACCTCCATGGGTTTTTTATATTCGATTCCGTGTATAAGGGACACCCCCTGAGCTCAAAACTTCGTATGCTACTGTTAAGGAAACATTTGCAAACGTCGGCCATTTTTATGCAAAAGCAATACTTGGAGTTGTACGGAGATTTCAGTGTAGGGGACAGCCAAGAGACAATTATATTTGCTAAGACAAATTGCATGTTTGAATGAGTAGTAAAACCCTGTTTGTGTGTGGGTTTTTTCAGCTTCACACCCTGTTCCAAGACATACCTGGTTTTCTGCGTGTTCGAGTCTTCAGTTTCTTCAGTGGAAGTATCGGGGTGGTGCCGATCGTATCATTCAACACAGAATCACCGACGACCATGGAGATGGTTGAAGAAGCTCTGACGAGATCAATAACCGATGGCAATCTGCTGTCAGGGTCTGAATACAAGGTCGTGCCAAGCCTAACCACTGCACAGGAACGTATGTATAAATCTCTGTGGTGCAAATTTGCTACAATAATATGATGTAGATCCGCAACAAAGTCTTGTGTGAGTGCGACAATCGCATGCCATGATGGGTATGACATGACATTTTTGAAGTCGCGGGTTCGATTCCTGCGACTTTCACATGTTCAAGGAAGCAGTTGGTTATAAACTGACAATACCTCTATGCCAAGACTGGTGAATTGTTATTTCTGATCCAAATCTGCACATATACTTAAACTTGTCACAGGCATCATGTTTTTAAAAGTTGCATTGGCGAGGATCTACCTACCGACCTGCCAAATCAGTGGTACTCAATTATCCATAACGGGTGGGGTTCACCTTACAGGAAAGGTATAGTGGAAACCAAATAAGCCCCTTTCTAAATGCAACCATACTGGCACCTGGCAATCCATACAAACCAACACATTATGTATACACCATACATGTATGCAGTATAACACGGGATAGTTTATCACGGGATATTGTCAACTCAATGATAGCAATTAAGTAAACTGTACACAGGTGGATCATTTAAAAAAAATATGTTATATTTACAGTGAATATTATTGCAGTCATTGGTTACTTATAAGAAGTTATATTGGTTTTCAGTTGTGTGCGAGGATGGGTATTGTCTTAATGGAGGCACGTGCACACCCAGTACTGTGGACTATGCAAGCACATGTTTGTAAGTATTCATGGATGTTAAGATTAAAAGGTAAATTATAGTTAATTTTGGTCCCAAGTATTATGAAAATAAGCGGTGAAGTTAAGCAATGTGGTTATCAGAAAAGGATGAGTACATCTAACTTCTTGGTAAAGACGTTTATAAACCAATCGCTGCCACCTGACAAAAGATGTAGGTCAGTAAAAATCAGTTGACGCTAAGTTAGCGTATGTCTGTTGATTCAATGAAATCAACCAGCTTCAGTGTTGTAGTCCAGACCTAGCTCGAGACCGAGACCGAGACCTGAGGACTGAGACCGAGACCTCAGGGTCCAAAGCCGAGAGCGAGACTGAGATCTTATGGGCGAGACCGAGACCGAGATCTTAGACTAATCAGCATAGGGTAATGAGAGATATATATTTATTACATAAAAAAATGATGCTAAAAGATTTTTTTCTGAATGCCGAATGAATTCAAATGAATTCAAATGTTGTAACAATGTATCCCCTAAATCTTAAATCGCAACCACTTGTCAGACTGTTTGAGAAGAAAACTAGCAGAGATACGAACACCTTCATTTTTATCAAAGCTGATTTTCAAAAACTTATTTAAACTTACTTCGAACAAGTAGTAGTACAAGTCAATAGTAACAAATACGGAATGAATTTGCCCGAATCAAAATCAGTGTCGGAAATGTGTGCCCGACCGAAGGCTTTAAATAACGGGGAACGATATCCACATTCGTGTGGCAGGACGCGTAGCCTTATGCGTGTACTGAAACACTGCCATGTGGGGTACCGGAACAATGGGAATACCCCACCAGGAATGCCCACCGACTTGCGGGGTACCGTTTTGGTACCCCACAAGTTTTTCACAAAATAGATATATGGATTTTACTCCAAAACTAGGAATTTCCAAGGTGGGTTGACGGTGTCGCAAATGGAAGAGTTTTAGAAAAGGGATATTAAGTCCGAATTTCAGCCCAGGAAATTAACTATGACTAAAATGAGAGCATTTTGACATAAGCATGATAAGCGTGCGACGTTGCAAAATTTTAGTACACTAGAAAAAAGGAAGTACCCCACTTCTATGCCTATGTAAGCGTGTGTGAACTCGCTGAGGTGCCTCGCAAAGCCCGAGCTTGTGCCAGCCAGCCTCTCTGTCAGCTTAATGTTGCAATATCTGCAGATCGCAGTGCTTCAAAATGTTTGCCATCGGTCATGGAATTCAGTGTGGTCCTGAAACCAAACTTCATCACTGCGGAGTGTGTGCCAACATGGCTGCGCTTGATCAACTCGATGCGGTCCACACGCCTAGCGCATGCGGTACAGTGCATTGCACCAAGTACCGCAAGGGAGTTTGCTTTACTAGAAATGTGGTGACATGTGGGTACCAGACTATTTGATTTCGTTAGCACCGTCCATCAAAACTTTCGAAAGCAAGTCAAAAATGGTCAGATGTAAATTTATTTAGTTTTTTTTGTGTGGTTCTTCCCTACTGAATAATAAGGTCTCGTTTGCTCGAGACCCCACAAGATCTCGAGACTTTTACTCCGAGATCGAGACCGAGACCGAGTTTTTTTTTAGTCGAGACCTTGAAATTGTCGAGACCTAAGAAAATCAGTCTCGATATACCGGCCTTGATACCGAGACCTGCCTAGAGACCTACATCACTGACCAGCTTACATTTGAATTTTATAACACCTCATCCACAAATTCTGTGTCTTGATTGGCCGAGAGTGAGTCACATGATACTTTCTATTTTTGCTATCTTTCTGTGCACGGCCAAAAGTACTATACCCGTAGCAACCAAAGTACTATACCATTAGCAACCAAAGTACTATTCCACAGCGCGGTATTTGTGTCCAAATGCATGTTGGTCTGCGGGTAGCGCGTTTTGTTCCAAAGAGAGCGCGCCACAGAGTTGGGTTCAAACATTTCGCGAAGGGGTGGTTTGGAAGAGAGAAATACATTGTCCACCAATTTTGTAGTGAAATTGAAGTTTATTTCAACTGTGTTCAGATTTAAATAATTTAAAATATTTAAACCAAGCAGAATCTGTGGGTGAAGTGTTATAAAACAAATATTGAATGCTTTATCTCGTGGTATAGTAAAACTAGCCTCTCTCGGTGATCTATGGAGCATTCTATTTTCCCTCGAGGCGATGGTCCATGGATCACCTCGGGAGGCTAGTTTTACTACGCCACTCAAAGCATTCAATATTTGTATACTACCCCAATTAGCACACCAGTGCACATGAAGTTTGTGATTGTTGTTTTTATTAGCTTGAAGACCACTGAAAATAAAGCGCGTATTAATTATATTAAAAAAGAGCTGTTCTACAGCAGCATTATAAAAGAGTTATGAGTTATTTTCTTTTATTGTGGTTCTGATTTGTATCATTCTTACAGATGTGCTACCGGCTACTCAGGAACAAGATGCGATGAAGGTCAGGGTCAGTCTCGGTCAAAGATGAATTTTCAAAATATCACAACTCCAGAAATTGGTCATCATTTAATCGACCCTATAATACCTCAAAACATTTATTACTATTTATTATTTGTTAACACGTCTTCCCTAAATTCACCATAGGACTTTTTATCATGCAACGGGTGCTTATTTAGAGTTGTTGTTTTTTGATTATCTAATATTTTCACTGTACGCAGGTGTGTCATCGATTACTATCATCTTGATTCTTGTGGCGTGTTTGGTGTTAATTGCCGTCATTGTCGTCGTAGTGTGTTGTTTCTTTGCTGTGGGTGTTATTAATCGGCGTAAGCAGCAATTGTATCAAGATCATCACGGTTGGGATATGCCCTCAGCCGATGACATGGACCTATTCTACAACCTGAGATACCACACTGGATCGGTGAGGTCACTTTTTTTTTGAACAAGTACCCTTTTCAATAAAGAAGTGGTGCCCTTTTTTGTGGCATGTGCCGTTTTGGGTGGCTTTTTCAGAGTATATTATGGTCCTGTATGTGCGCATAATTGTCGGTTTTGAGATGGTGTCCCCCCCCCCCCCCCCCTCCGCTTTCAAATTTTACGGAGGCCAAGTGTCTGGAGAAAAATAAAAGTCTACATTTCACAACGGATGTGCAAATGCCCTTTTATAAAAATGTACCTCCTCAATAAAAATGACCGTGCTACGCCCCTATGTAGTAACAATTGACAGCAACACAAGGGCTTCAAGTAGATATGAGCGATGAAAAACACACATTTCTGTTTATGTGTATTGTATTTATTTCACGCGCATTGAATTCTGTATTATGTGTAATGTATTAAGTTTTTGTTCTAAAACGATGCTTATTTAAACAGGCTCGGAGAGTGCCAAGTGGAGGATTCGGATCTGGTACGGCTTACATTGCAAGCGGAATGGAGGCTGAGGAAATTGCGGTAAATCTTGTCATACTATGACTTCATTAGTACATCGCCAGTCATCCATTCTCCAATCAAATACCAAGCTACTCACAGTGACGAAGGCATTACTTTGTCATTTTCATCTCCTATTAATCGCGACCCGATTTGTGACCCGATTTATTTTCCACACCCCTCTATCTGTTGTACCAATGACAATTGGATTTATGTGTGCAAGAAGCGTTGAACGTTCTCTCTCCGACTCAGTCAAACAATTTGCATTTATCTGAGATAACAAAATGTACTCTATTCAAGTGAACATTCAATAAATACGACTAAAACTAGAAAAGAGACAGTTAAATTATATTGTGAAATTCATTGAAGCATAAGATGGAATGTCCACACGACGGTTTCAATTGGAGTGATTCTTTTCCAACGTATTTCAATATTGAATTAGTGTGATCTCCACTGGACATCGTATGGTCCTGAGTTTATTTTTTTGTAAATGAAACAACACAGATATACAAAATTATTCCAAATCACCCGAGATCAGCAACGGTTAACTGATTGTGTACCAATTTTTTTTCCTTTTCTTTTAGATGCACGATTTACGCCGATTCCGCAACTCCGTCATTTAAATGGAGATTTGCCTAGCTGCAGCTGGATGAACGTGAAGTTTTTGTAATCGTGGAGACGAATCGGCAAATTAAAGTCTAAAGTTTTTACTATTCTCATATTAATCAAGGATGTTTAGTGGTAGTAGTGTTTCGGCATTCCAACAGCTGAGGTCGCACGTACGCAGTGAATGCAAAGTAACATCGGTGAAAGCATATCTTCTCATTACTTGGATGATGTTAACTTTCTTAGATAATGGTAGCAATCATTTTCCGAAGACCAAGAAACTACAGAGAATTTGGACAAATGAAGAGCCACAGTTTTTAACAGATCATCATGTTTTAAAGTATTCATAATACAATAACTAGATATCACTAGAACTGTGAAAAAGTCTCTTGTGGACGCACTTTAACTGATTTAAAATGTCTTTCAATTGTGAAAGATTGAGTCGATTCCAACATTGTGAAGAAATACCTCTGGATTTACCTAAAACAACTTAATTGATAACATTTTAGAGATTTAATCCAGATCTGTTATTACATGTATTTGTATATTGCCCCACATAATTATATGTATATCTTAAAGCCTAGTCGACTGTACATGTGTAACAGTATATTAATCAGCGTATAACAATATTTAATTGCACTAGAAAGCAGAAGGTCGTGGGTTCCAGTCCCACCCGAGTGATTTTTTTTTTCAATTTTCACTCGGGAGGTAACACACTGAGTATACAGCGTTTATACGTCGGTGAAGGGCAAAATCTAAGTTTGATATACATCACCTTATAAGTATTTAAGTAATACTAAATTCCACAAGAATGGGTTAATGGTTAATAGGTAGATATATGTATTCATTTTTTTATATTACCCAATATAATCATACATACAGGGTTGATAAAAAAAACTGAAACCGAGATATTATTGCTAATTGGAATATCCTCTGTTAGAGTGGAATCTCCTCTTAAAAATGACACCCTGATCATGTCCTTACATTCACGGTTGACTGAGCAGTGACCAATTTTATGAAAGGGTGTATTTAGAGACTTGCGCTATTTTTTTATGTCGAAATCACTTGATTGGCAACCATAGCCTTTCACTCTGTGACAACTGACGCAACAAAAACCACAATTGAAAAGTGGCGCAATTCTCTAAATAGACCCTTTCATAAAACTGGTCACTGCTCAGTCAACCTTGAATGTAATGACATGACCAGAGGATATTCAACCCTAACAGAGAATATCTCCCTTTGATTCACATGTGACCTACTTCTGTTGCAATTAGCAATAATATCTCGGTTTAGTTTTTTTTTAATGCACCCTGTATATCTAAAAGTTGACTAATCTTAAACTAGAAAGTAGGCCGTAGGCCAATTTCATGTTTGTTAACTGAAAATAGCGCTTTTGTTGAATGCCTTTAACGTTATATATGTTTAACAGTACTTTAATCAGTGTATAACAATATGTAGTAGAAATGCACAAGCCCAGGTAGGATGTTATATGTGGATATGTGTGTTTGTTCATTTGTTTTCAGGTAGAGGCCTAAACATAATATTAAGCCTTAAAAACAAGATCCCTTGTTGTTACCCAACGTAGCGTTTATTTTTTGAGTATGTATTTTAGCACAATACAAAAAAAAATGACTTCGTTTCTAAGAAGGAAATAGTTAATGTCAGTTTTAGCATGTACGTTTTACTCAATCATTACTATTTGGGTCATGTTTTTATAATTAAAGGTTCTAGGGTTAATTAGCTTTTTGTGCATTTGTTTCCACTTGAATCATCAAAATGGCTCAAATCTGAATTAGGTTGCATACAAGCCGAATCTTTTGAAATTTTAGCTCTAATTTCTTTACATTTGAATGGCGCCCTCTCGCGATACAAATCCTAAATCAGCAATCAGGACCTGATTCCAATTCAGCCCATATCCTGGAGGTAATTCCCTTTTTCTTCAACAAAGTGTAATCATTGACCTTAATGCACATACGGTAACGGATTTTTAATCCCTACCTGATCGTGTGGGTTTGCCCCAAAATTGTCTTCTGGGCTTTTCCTCTCACCTCTAAAACTGTAATTTATTCTCATTGTCTCCTCTCTACAGGTTACATTACCAGAAATGATGAATAATAACTATAATAATAGTATCGGGGTTATATGAGAGATATGACGAAACACAGACCTCGACCCTATTGCTTACGGAAGACAGATAGTGCCACTCAATGAGTGTGAATATATTTGTTGGGTGCGTGTGAAAATATTTTGTGAACACCGGCCGCCACTTATTATGTGGCGGCCGCCAGATAATAAGTGGCGGTCGCAACATGAGTGGTCATAATAAGTGGCGGCCGCTGTACAAAAACAATATTTTACACATACACAATCAATATATTCACACTTTTCAATGTGGCGGACGCCATTTATTATCTGGCGGCCGCCACATAAAAAAAGTGTGAATATATATATATTTTTTGTACAGCGGCCGCCACATATTATGATGACTTATGTGGCGGCCGCAACTTATTATCTCGCGGCCGCCACATAATAAGTGGCGGCCGCTGTACAAAAAAAATATATTTTCACACGTACCAAAAAAATATATTCACTCATTGAGTGGCACTATCCGTCTTCCGTAATTTCTCAATAACAATGGGAGGCAGCCCTCGATATCTTCAACACGTTCACAATTGAGACGGAGAGCAAAAACAGGAGGCTTGATACAAAAGTAAAGGATATGATGCGCTTTAGTAGATCTTCCAATCACCGGAGATGCATGATCAAAGTGCAGCACAAAAGTAAGAATTACTTCCTTGCATTCCTTATCACAACAGGAAACCACTGGGGTTGCAAGCCTGTGACAAGCTCAACTCATAAAGAGGTTTCGATAGGGAAGAGGTTTCGTTTTTAGGGAGGTAAAGTCCAACACCTCAAAACGTATACATCCCATTTGCTTATGTCCTTGATGACCCTACACACTTGTAATACTCCCTCGATAAAATATCTCTCACGGTACGGCTTACTCAGGGCTGTTGTTACTCAGGGCTGCAGGTACTGCTGCCGAGCGGACAAGCTGACTCATTCACAATTTATCGCGCATTTCTCTCCATCGTTCACAATGAACGTCTGTTTCAGCTTGACGGAATTCTGGAGTGATGGCATTGTGTTCGATTTTTGTAAAGATTTCCTTCTATGGTGATTATTTTCTATTGTAGTGGAGCTAAATAAATGAACGGTTTGGGGTAAAGATTCGGGTAAGAGCTGGAAACTTGGGCGTCGCCAGGATTTCTTTTCTAGGGGGGGGAGCAAAACATATTTTCAAAAAAAAAAAATCATGTTTTTCTCAAAATATAAATAAATTATTATGTGCTGTGTTGTTTGTAAGGATTAGGACATGCACAAATGGGTACAATGACAATCCCTTGCTATGAGAGTTTTGTGTGTGTACAGGATGACAAATTACTACTTTTATATCATTGGTATTTTCTCGGCAACCCAAAGTGCTATTTTCATGATTTTTTTCAGCATTTGAAACTTCCATTTTTGTAAAGATTTCCTTCTATGGTGATTAATTTCTATTGGCCAAACAAGTAGGGTAAGGTCAGACCTCGGACACAAACGTGGTGTTCCCCCTCCCCTGCAAACAGGGCGCTAAGAAGGGCTGATGCCGCTTCACAGAATCTTGCGAAGGAAGTACGGATGGCATTATGGTATCATGACCTTCGCAAGCAGCTAGCGCGCTAATTGAGTGCGTTCGATTACTTCCCCCAGCTTACTCGCGCCTGGCTCCTCGCGTAATGACAGACCGTCACCGTTTTCACGAAGAGCCACATAAATTATGTCGATTTTGAAGAAAAGCGTTTTCGAGATAATCGCAAAAGAAGTTTCTCATATTTTAAAACTCCAAAAAATACCACTTTGCAACAACTTTGTGCAGCAAGGAAACCATCAAACGATTTTTTTTTTGGCTTTTCGGGGGGGGGGATGTTGCTACCTGACGCCACTTTTTTTTTTTCATATATCATCTCAATGAATGTCAGTCATTGCAAAAATGATGATAAGACAGGAATCTGTGACTGAAAAAAAAAATCCAATTTTGTTTCCAAAATTTTTTTTGACTCTCCATAGACTTTGTACACAATTGCGGAAGTGGCGTCAGGTTGCAACATTTTTCCCAGGCCGGCTGCATCCGAATCAATTAATAAAAATAACTGTCTAAAGCACGTCCATGCCCAGTGAAAATATGTGGGGACGCGCTGACAATAATTTGTAGCCGTAGCTCCGTGCAAAGCGCTACATAGGTTTTGAATGAAGCTCTGCTCCGTGGAAGCCCGTTTCGGACACGGCCTGAAACGCCGGCCCGCCGGACGTTGCATGGCCTTATGGGACACTTACCCAAGTGACCGGCTCGGCGAGTGGGTTACTTGGGCCAGGCTCGAGTAAGCGGGAGAAGTCACGTGAGAGGTAAATCGAACGCTGTCGTGCTTGCACGAGTAAGCGCGGAGGAAGTAATCGAACGCACTGATTATGATAAACAGCTAGTAGCACGTTCGTGTGCTGCATGCTACTCCACAGGTCACGCAAAATCTATCCAATGAGAGCTCATGGAGACCAGCCCTTCCCAGTGTCCTGTTTGCAGTTGGGGGTACGAGCGATCAAGGATTAACTGCACTTGTGTCGAATTATTTTATGAATCAACAGAGGACGCGCTCTATGACGGGAGGACGTGCTGATGGTTGCAGACCAGTAAATAAATGTCCATAGACCTCGATGATAGATGCACCCACTTCAGAAATTCAGGAAAAATACTTACAACTCTCCAAGGTGTTCAAGACGCACCTCAAAATAAAGCTTATTTCATCATCTTTCATTTTCTTTTCATTTTTTTTGGAGGTAATCTGTTGAAGTTTGGGAGAAATTTCCATCCGAAGATGATCACCCCTTAAATAGTCCTGAAGCCTATAGCAATTATTTAAAAAAACGGTGCCTTCACTCCATTGCAAAATAATTTAATTTCATACACATTTTACAGAAATACAAGCTCACGGTCCTGTGCACGACTTCCACCCCTATTTTTTTACAAACCCTAAAGTTCATGCCTACAGTATGCTCAAATACTGCAAAAAAAAAATCGGACCGATTTACTGTTTTGCACCACTTGTACGGCATGAGGATGGGTAACTCATATTTCATCAAAGAATTGGGACAAAAAATCTCCGAGTTCAATATCTGGCCTGAAAACAAGTTTGCGGCTGCCTTGCTGTAGTGCGCCCCAACGGGAGTTAATTGAGCTACAAATCATCACCCCACCCCCCCCTTTTTTTTTGCTCGAAATTGCTGTAATCAGATGAAGGTCATTCGGCCCCTTCAGATTTGGAAGCATTTGTTGTGCGGAACGAGCATTAGTGACCCCTTTGAAATGCTGCCCCCACCCCCCGAAAGGTCACGCTCCCTGAAAAATCACTGTCGTGGCATATAAAGCGCTTGCGCACCGCCATGTTGACAACGATGGACATAAATTTAAGCTTATTTCATCCGAATCTTTCATTTTCTTTTCACTGTTGGGGGGGACCTTTCCATCCGAAGATGATCACACCTTAAACTAGTCCTGAAGCCTACCGCCATTTTGAAAAACGGTGCCTACACTCCATTGCAAAATAGAGCGCTTTTAGGCCCTAATTTCATCCAAATTATTACTACTAATACTGTAATAGGGCGACAGGTTTTGCGAACTCCGTCCACAATAGGGCGATACACCTTATTGAGGCGACAAAATAACTGTCGCCCTTTTATGAAAACGACCCTTAGGACAAGGAATTTTGCTGTCGCTAACCATATAGATCGATTCCTCATGGTCCAATTAGTATAAATACTAAATTTCGTGGAAAAAACACAAGGTGAACTTGGGTTAGGTGACAGTTTAGGTTTGTGCACAAGTCTATGGGAAAGTCACCCTATTGGGGCGAAAAGAGTTATAATTATTATAATAATTATTATCATACTTTTTTTATTATTATTATTATTTATTTGACCTCAACAACGAATTATAAACAGTGATACAAAACAGTACAAAAATTACACGAAAAGTAGTTGCAAAAGCACAACAAAAGGAACGTATAAACATGTAATTTAAATTTTAAAAAACCCGAAAA